TTTAAGAGTGTATTTTTAGCCAGGCATTTATTAGTTCTCATTGGGAGGGAAAACGGGGTGTTAAGGGTGGAATTAGGGACATGCACTCTGTCTAAGAAGGATGTGGAGATCAGGAAGGCTAAAATACCACAAATGAAACGTCGTCCCCAAGGAAGAAGGACCTGCCCAACTCACGAGTGCTGCAGTCAACAACAGACAGTCAGCTTGTAGTGCAGGTATGTGACACTTTGCTCTCTTCTGGATCCAATTTTTAAATCTTTGTCACTGTTTTCTCACTTCCTCTTGCAACTCATCTGCACTTATAAACTCTCGCCACCTGTCTAAGTTGTTTTTGTGTTTTTAAGTGCGTATATATATAAATATATATGCACCGTATATCGTCTAGACAGGAATAGTATTGAGTCCATAGGTAGAAATTATTGTTCATGTATGCATTTAAAACTACAATGTTTTGTAGATTAGTCATGGTTCACATGAAGCTCCTAACCTGTGTGTATCTTTTATTGGCGATGTTTTGTCGTATATTCATCAGAAGGGTCATGCCAGGCATATTTTCTGTAAGCCCATATTCAATTTTAATGAGCCACGCACTGTGTGTGATTAGGTTTCAGGCTTCAGTTACACTTTTCTGCTTCTCTGTGCGCTGTAAGTCACCCATACACACCGGCAAACATACAATGCATGTAGCACAGCAACACACACTTACACATTGTAAAACATAATCGATGCATTCGGTGTTTGTATATGAGTGTGTATGTGTGTGTTCATAAGAGAGACAGGGCTACAGGAAGTCAAAAACAGGTGGGTGAGGAGGAGCATACAGTATATGGCTAGAGAATATAGGATATGCATTCAGTTCAAACGTTTGAGTAAATTAATGCATTTATTCAACAGGGAAGCATTAAATTGATCAAAAGTAACAGTAAAGACATTTATAAAGTTACAAAGGATTTCTATTTCAAATGCATGCTCTTATTTTAAACTTTTCTATTCTATAAATACATATAACGGTTTCATTATTAAATGAGTAGTTCACTTTAAAAAAAAAAAAAAACTTTTGCTGATAATTTACTCACCCCCATGTCATCCAAGATGTCCATGTCTTTTTTTCTTCAGTCGAAAAGAAATTAAGGTTTTTGATGAAAACATTCCAGGATTTTTCTCCATATAATGCACTTCAATGGGAACCAAACGGTTCAAGGTCCAAATGAGAGTTTCAGTGCAGCTTCAAAGGACTTTAAACGGCACCAGATGATGAATAAGGGTCTTATCTAGAGAAACGATCGCTCATTTTAAAAATAAATCAAAAAGTTTAAGTTTTATAGCACAAATGCTGTTCTGTAATGAGCGTTCGTGATTCTCCTGTTCAAAAACAACCAAACTTTTTTTTAGTCATGACTCAAAGGGTCCTAGATAAGACCCTTATTCATCGTCTGGTGTCGTTTAAAGCCCTTTGAAGCTGCACTGAAACTCTCATTTGGACCTTGAACCGTTTGGTTCCCAATGAAGTCCATTATATGGAGAAAATCCTAGAAAGTTTTCATCAAAAACCTTAATTTCTTTTCGACTGAAGAAAGAAAGACGTGGACATCTTGGATGACATGGGGGTGAGTAAATTATCAGCAAAAGTTTTTTTTACTAACTACTCTAATTTTGCTAATAATAAAAATATTTCCTGAGCACCAAATCAGCATATTGGAATGATTTTGAAGGATCATGTGACACTGAAGACTGTAATTATGCTGAAAATTCAGCTTTGCCATCACAGAATAAATTACCTTTTAAAATCTATTAAAATTGAAAATTTTATTATTTACATTTAAATTACTGTTTTATTTTGTTTTTGATCAAATAAATGTAGCCTTGTTACATTTAAACATAACATAAAAACATAAAACCCCCTTTGAATAGCACTGTATATATTTATAGTTTGGCCAGGTTTCATAGCTATATTTACAGGACTGTGTGGTGTATGTGTGTGTACTTCCGCTTCAGAGCATAGAGGTCATTAGAGTACGCTCCAGTGATCAGCCCTGTGTGGGAAAGGCTATCTGTTCTGGGCTGCCGTTCATCACTGTAGACAAGAGGAACAGAAATAAGGGCAGGACTACCCCATAACAACAATAATCAGAACCTGTCATTGTTGTTATCCTGATTGTGGTGCCAACAGCAGATAGTCGTGATAGAGAGCTTAACTTACCGCTAATTCTCTTTGATCTCATTAATTGATGTGTGGAGATCGTTAGAGCGTCTGTGGATCTTGATAAGAGTCCATCTCCTCCTCGATATGGCCCAGGGACAACAGCTGGTCGCACAGAGGACGAAATTCCCCCCAGAGCTCTGGACTGGGCTGAATAAGCCCCCCTGTCACATCATGCAGTCTTCACTCTGATGTTAAACAAGGTGGAGAGGAAAACACATAAACGCTTATACGGAAGCATGAAGGTATCTGATGTCCTTATAGGACTGAGATGCACAGCATGACTGATTTTGTGTCTGAGAGTTGAATGATAATGGCAAATTTTGCAGGAGTGTGTGCTATTTTATTTTCATTATTGATGCATGCGGAAGTGGGGTGCCACTGTGTGTGTGTGTGTGTGTACAACAACTAATATAAAGTTAAACTTATAGGCCTGGTTTCACAGACAGGTCATAGAATAGGCCATTAGGTATTTAAGTAGCTTTTATGCATGTGCCTTAGAAAAAAAAAAAAAACATTACTGTATGCATCTTGAGACAAAATATTATAAATATTTATAAGATATGTATTTTTAAAAGATAAATATTTTAAGATATGTAAGTGCAAGTTGCTTTCAGATAAAACAGCTCAAACATGCATCAGGACTAAGTTTAAGTCTTGTCTGTGAAACCTGGAGATTTAGTATTAATTTTTAGTTTTCATGCATTAGCAACATTAGGAATAAAAATAAGTTGAAATTGAAGTACTAAAATTACTAAGACTAAAATAAATATAAATTAAAGCTAAATAGGTATATTAAAAAATAGCAAAAGCACACAAATGACTAAATTAAAATGAAAAGTGAAAATATAAAAATAAGTATATACAATTATATTTTTGTAATAAATAAAATAACACTTTGGGGTACAGTCTGTGACTAAGCGTGTTGGTTAGTTGGTTGAACCCTGTTTATGAACAAATTATAGGTCTGAATTTTACAGGAAATGTTCATTTTCTTTACCTATAGTCAGTTTCAGCCATGGAGACGATGTATTGTTTAAACCATATATAGCTGAAGATAAATCGATGCTCCTGGAGATCTTCCTTCCTGCTGCGTTTAGTTCCAACCCTGCTGTTACACACCTGTCTATGATTTTCAAGAGATCCGGAAGACCTTAATTAGCTGGTACAGGGTTTTCCCTGTGGTCTTTTTGTCAAAGTACTATAAGCACTTAAAATGATTAGGAGAAGAGGGGGGCGACCTCTTCATCAGGAAATCACCATGGCCCAAAACGTCAGTTGCATGTCTGCTAACTGCTAGACCATGGTTCAGACAGTGTTTGAAACACATCTGGTTTAAATTTCAGCAGTGATTCTAGGGTTATCAAATCACCATATCAGATTGAGCAAATTGATGCTTCCTGTAAAATATGATCTGTTTTTGGACTCTTCGCAAGTTCAGAATGACTCACTATATGTGTTTCTACATTTAATTTGGCTGCTGCTGCTTCAAGCTTAATTGCAGTATTTGATAGGAACAGTTTAAGAACTGTAACTGAAGGAAATGCATGTAAAACGTTTTATCTTGCTCAGGATTGGTTCAGTGCTGTGTTGATCTGGTTACACTGGTGAGAGTGATCCTGCAGTCAGCTTCATCTCTGCACGCAAGTGGGAATCAATAAAGGTTGCTAATGGAGACAGGATTTTCTTCCGTCCCTCCTCAAGGCTGCTCAGACTTATACTAATATTAAGTTGCACGTCTGGGGCTTTCTGGGTTTCAATTCATACAACATGCAGTGCAAAATGAAAATCTTAGATCTGTCGTTTGATTTTGAGAACAGATGGCACTGACACGACATACAGCCCCCAATAAAGTGTGCAGTGTGTTCCTGTAGATTCCCCCTCTGACACTGCAAAGTCACTGCTGACAAGCTCCTTCAGTATCTCCTTCTGTTTTCAGGCCCTTGGCTAAGCTATGAGCCAAAGACATATTGATGACTTATGGACATATTGATGCTGTGACTCATGATTCCTATTCAGCAGGAGATCTGTGAGCAGGATGAATGTGAATGGATGTGTTTGTGAGTGTGCGATCTATGCGGTGGTTGAAAGTAAAGTAATTTACTCTTGCACATTATTAATGGTAAAGCACTGTTTCAACTTTATTTTAAAATTGTAAAGTGTACTAGACCCAAAGGGACACTTAAAATAATGCTACAATACAGTGCTGATAATTAGAAAGTGACAGTAGCCAAAGTAATGACTAATTTTAGGCCATAACATGTTAGTCATCTGTATTCGGATATGCTATTTTTTTTTTCCTTTTTTTAAAACAATCTTGGCTTTTCAGAAAAAAAAAAAAATCAACAGTAAGACAACAATGAAACAAAAAAATCCATGAAACTGCTTAGAAAATTTGGTGTTAATTTGACTTTAAGAATCTTAAAGGTTAATGAGGTCCTGCCTTTGTGACAATTAGCCCCAGTTTTCCTTTTAAATAGACCAAAAATAAATAAATAATATTAATTAAAGAAAAAGTGTATGGATATGTAATCTGTCAACCACTCAATTAGAATTATTTAGAAAGAACAGCAATTAATAACAAGTGTTACCAACCGTTTAGTTACTGTTGCTCTCCACCAAATCAGTTAATTAGGCTCGACTTGAGAGCAAAATAAACAGGATAATTATGAGAAGATTTGTTCATTCTAAGGCGCTTTGTCCCTTTAATTCCGTTTTTTTCATACGGCGACGTCTTATGATCACCTGTGAGGGGCGGGACATGCGCGATGGATGGATGGATGGAGGAGGGAGGCACACAACCTACACCCGCACGGAGAGTCTCTGCTCTCGGGATGTGCGTTAACGCTACAGAGACCCTCGAATAAAATGGAGACATAAAACGCCATGCATCCAAAACAACCGCGGATACCGACGCTGTCGCCTTATTCAGTGCATTGAGACCCGTATCGCCGCGTAATTAGCTGGAGGGAGGGGGATTAAAAGGAAAAGGGGGTCGATCATGGGGAACGAAGCGAGCCTGGAAGGCGGTGAAGGGGCGCTCACTGGATTACCAGCGGGACTCGCACCTGACGGAAAGGGTGGCTTCATCCAGATGCCCGCAGGGGTGGAGGCAGACCTCAGCAATCTTTCTGAGGATGAAAGAAAGAAGCTTGTGGCCGCTATGGCCAAAGCGCAGTCCAGGCAAGTTGAAGTGTCTATAAATGAATGCCCGTACTGATGATGATCTCCATCCCTCCAGTGACCGAGCGCTTGTGTTGTTGATGGGTATGATGGGCTTGTGTTTTGATCAGGGCACTGCAGGTTGGCACATCACGACAGCATCACCGATGCAAAATATGATCACACCCATTCACGCTCTTGCTTCATGTTTACGCTCGTTTTATAGCGAGATATGTATCCCTGCCCAATTTTCAGACATGCATATGATTGCAATTCAACACCTACTTGGTGAACTTCTGTTTTACAGCTATACGTATATAGAGAAAATAACAGCCGCTTGTCACAAAACGTTTTTTTTCTTTCATAATTGGTATCATCATCGTTAATATGGTGGGTCACTATATGTGTATGTGTGCACAGTTGATGTGCATAGTGTTTTAATGATCGTTTTCATTAAACCGTTTTATTCAATCCATGAGAGACAGGGTTATAGACTTTTTTTAAAAATAAAAAAATTCTTGAAAAATATGAATGATCCTCTCATGAATATCCGTCCTCCGTGTATCCACATCGACGTTCTCCGTGCTCCATCTTCCTCCTATGGGCTGTGTAGGTGATGTCATGAGCTGGTTTGGAAAACACAGCCTGAGAATAACACAAGTCTGTGAAAATTCGATCATTTGAAAGCACGCGATCGACATCCTCTTTGACGTGATCTCAGTCGTAAACTAATTGAACTGTTTCTTTAAAGTTCCTTTGGCATAAATGTGTTATTTTTACCCAAGCGCAAATGGGGGGAGGGGGCATAAATATGAATCTGACTAAATATAGCACCGCAAACATTAATGCTATCATGCTCATTGATTGCTTTGCTTATTTTGGGGAGTGTGCGGGTAGTAGGTATTACACATAAGAACAAGCAGGGCCGAGTTTCAGTTTAAGCGATTATTATATTGGACCGCTGTCCATGGTGCTGAAACGCGCACAGCAAAGAGCGCCACTCGATCAGAATCAAAACGCATCTTGGACGTAGCGTGATGATTTTCTTTGGGTGACTGAATGACAGAGCACCTAAATATATGTAAAATAACGCCCACGAAAACAACCAGCAGTTCAGGCTGCTGTGCTGAACAGCCATTGGGTTAATATAGGCCTAGTAGTAGTGATGCACTGAATGAAATGAAATAATTGTGACAATGGGCCAAAAACGAAAAACATTATATTTAATTTGATATTATCATATTTTTCTAAAATGATTACACTTAGCATTTAGGCTAGAGAAACATATTATTGTATAATATATATAATTTTGAAAGGAAAAATAGTGGGAAAATTCTAATTATTAATGCACTGGAAAACTTTGGGAATATGTTGATCACAATATAATTTTTAATCACTATATATTATAATTTGACCACAATATAGGTTTTTGGCTTCTTTTTATTATTATTCTTCTTTTTGGTGGCCTGAAAGTTAGTCAGTTAAATTATTTTCTTTCACATAAAAAAAATTGTAGAGAAACAATTACTTTTTTTTCACTAGTTTTGTGTATTTTGTTGCTGTAGTTTTCAGGTTAGAAGGAATAATTTTAAATATTTACCTTTTTTCTGCTTTATAAATTCTTATTTAGGTTTTATTGATTGATTGTCTGAATAATTCGCAATGCCCCTTTTAATGTAGTTCTGAAATTGACCCAGAATAGCTATTAAGTATGTAAGAAACCTATCTGTTAATCTCAGATTTTGAAAAATCTATATTTACTTAGACTACGGAATGAGAAGTTGACATTATGTCTGTTCACTCCACAGGCCACCAGAGACTCAAGCTGGTGGCACCCGAGTTCCAGCTCGTCTCAGTAAGAGTAGGACTGTAGATGCATTTGGAGAGGGGCCACCTCCCAAGCCAAAGCCTGGACGGAGCCCCTCATCCCTCAGCCTCCTTGAGTCACGTTTCCGGCAGGAGCCAAAAGACCCAGAACAACCACGAACTGGCATGTTCTCGTCTGGCTTCCTGAGTGGGGCCAACCCCCTGAGTGCAGTCTCTTCTGCCGTCTCCTCTGCCAGCATCCCAAAGTTTAGTTTGTTTGGTGATGATGAGGAGGAGCAGTCTGCAAAGCAAGAAGGAAAGCCTCCGGGACCACAGAGTGGAGCGGGGAAGGGTCCTCCGCAGCAAGGGGTTAAGCCATCTCAGCAAGGTCCCCCTAAAGGACAGGGACCTTCTCAGCAACAACAAGGGCCTAAACCTGGAGGACCTGGACCTCAACAGCAAGGGCCTAAACCTGGCGGACCAGGACCTCAACAGCAAGGGCCTAAACCTGGAGGACCAGGACCTCAACAGCAAGGGCCTAAACCTGGAGGACCGGGACCTCAACTGCAAGGACCCAAACCTGGAGGACCAGGACCTCAACAGCAAGGACCCAAACCTGGAGGACCGGGACCTCAACAGCAAGGACCCAAACCTGGAGGACCAGGCCCCCAGCAGCAAGGGCCTAAACCTGGAGGACCAGGCCCCCAGCCAGGAGTTGCAGGAAAACCCAGTGGACCTCAACAGCAGGGCAAACCTGGGCCGGGGGCTCAATCAGAAGGGCCTGGTAAAACTGGGCCTGCTCAGGGGAAAGCAATGTGTCCTCTTTGTAAGTCTACAGAGCTGAATGTTAAAGTCAAAGACCAGCCACCCAACTACAACACCTGCACTCAGTGTAAACAGCAGGTGTGCAGCCTGTGCGGCTTCAGTCCACCAGATTCAGCGGTAAGAGACAAATATGCTCCCCTCAGTACATCAGTGACATACATTTTACACTGGTCTAAATTATTATCCAGATATAGATAAGGGGAATGCCATTTTTCATACAAAAGATACAAGTTTTTTTCAATTTTTCACTGAAGAGGTAATTCAGTTCATACGTGGTATTTAATGCTGTGCAGGGTTTGTTTTAATAACTCCTTTAGGGTCACCCTGCTCTAATTCATTTCATCCTGAGTTTGGGAAAAAAAATATTTGCACAGTAGGTGGAAGATTATCAAGGCTACTTACGTCGCCCAGACAGGAAGTGGGGGAAGTCGTTTTTCACTGTATTTAGGAACTACATTCATGAGTTATAAAGGCAGTGATGATACGTACATTTGGCATTATTCCTGGTCTATGTTAGAGGGAATAACACTATTAGTCACGCAATGTTGAGTGTACAGTGTTTTTATGAAGGTTAAATCATAGTTTAATTAAATCATAAAGTCGTGGCTTTCATGACTTACTAATAAATCCAATAAGTATGAACAGGTTTTAATAACAGCAAGTTAGCTGCAAATGAAAATGTTTTATACTAGGTGTTTCTGCTCAGTGGCTGGCTATATAGACAAATATATTTTGAGGTATTTTTATATACAATGAGCTTCAGGGAATCACAATTGCAAATCAATACTCTTACACAGATAAGATTGTGCTCATGTGCCTTGACCTTCTCTGCTTGTTTCCACAGGGTAAGGAATGGTTGTGTCTGAACTGTCAGATGCAGCGGGCGGTGGGGGGAATGGAGCCTCCTGGACCTCCAATGATGAAACAGCCGCCTAAGCAGGGCTCGGCACCTCCTTCCCCACAAAGGACAGAGCCCCCTTCTGGGTCTCCCTTAAAGGTTGAGCCAGGGAAGAAGCCCCCAATGCTAACTAAACAAAAGAGTATTGCTGATACAGGGAAAGGAAGTACACCTCCAGCAACACCAAAACCAGGACCACATCAGGCACCTCACCCTGATCAACTAGGGGCCAAACGTGTGCAGCCTCCTCCTCTTCAAAAACCTTCACAGAGCCCAAAAGGTAGTCCCCAGCCTTCTCCAGCAAAAACTACCCCAAAACAGGATGGTGGGGGCTTCTTTGGGGGATTTGGTCTCGGAGGTTTGACAGAGGTGACAAAACCTTCTGCGGGTGCAGAGTCAGTCACAGGGAAACTCTTTAGTGGTTTTGGTGGGTCGTCCAAACCTCAGGCTGGCTCTGCAGCACAGGCTAGCGAGTCGGTCACCGGCAAACTTTTTAGCGGGTTCAGTGGGCTCACTGACTCATCAAAGCCTCCGGCAGCAAGTTCTCAGGCTGCCGAGGGTGTTTCTGGAAAGATGTTTGGTTTTGGCTCATCCATCCTGAGCTCTGCCACTAATCTCATCTCTGGGGAGGAATCAAAGTCTCCCCCCGATTCTCCTTTGGGATCGCCGCCTGATTCCCCCATTGTGTCCGATGCAGACTCCCCTCCTGGATCCCTCCCTGACTCAGGCTCAGATTCACCTCCTGACACGCCACCTGCTTATTCCAAAGAACCAGTATCTCCAAAACCAACTGCTGAAGGAAAAGCATCAGCGGACACATCCCCTCCAAAATCTAAAGTAGAGGAGCCTCCAATTCAAGATTCAGGCTCTGACACCCAGTCCTGCTGTCCACTCTGTAAAGTGAAGCTGAATGTAGGATCAGGAGAATCGCCCAACTACAGCATGTGTACAGAGTGCCAGAAGACTGTGTGCAACCTGTGTGGATTTAACCCTACTCCACATCTCTCAGAGGTAAGAGTTCAGCTGCAACTCCTTGTTAAAGTCTTTGAGTTGATTGTATTTGCTATTGAAATGGGAAGTTGGGGTGGAACACCTCAAAGATATTGTTCTGTTTTTAGCTGGCAGGAGCTTTTAGTTTTTTGTCACTGCCGTGCCTGGGATGCTAAAAGTCTACTTTTTGCTAAGGTGATATTTATAATTTAGGAGGACTGGACATTCTGATTCTAGAGGGCGTTTTATTGTACAAGAATATGCTGTATGTGCCTCTGAACAAGATGAGATCAGTTTGTTTGGTATTTTTCAAGGAAGAGAATGTCTGAGAGAAAGTGTGTATATGTACTAAAGTAGGATTTTTGTCAACTACTTGAAGTAAATTGGCACATAGACAGCATCAAAGCTAACAGCTAACTCATTTTAGATCCCCTCTGGTGTGCTTTAAAATGAATTTGGGTGAGCTACAGTTCATGTATTTCTCTGGAGAATGGCCTCTTGCTCTTTGATCATTGATTGTTCTGTTGCATTATACACAAGTCTCATCATTCTTCTCATAGTTTTCTTGACTGTGTAATCAAATGCACTCTGAGCCTCTTTGAGTGAATTTGTTTAGGAATGTGTGTGCACTAAGGAGGACAGGGAGAGTCATAGTCTGATCCCATCTCAGGTGACTCATAAACTCGCTTCCTGTTTGGAAATTAGCCTTTGCTTTATAGTGAACATAGTTGGGGGGTAAAAAAAAATGCTGCTTATTTGTGAATAACTTTCTGTATTTTTACAGAAAACAAAATTTAAATGATATATTTAAAGGGATAGTTCGCCACTTTATGTTCCATCATGTTAACATCAGTTGCCTAGATGAAGGATCTAGACCTCTGGGACTTTTGTTGATTAATGATTTCTATATTTAGCTAGCCTACTATATATATTCTAAAATTAACTTCTGAATTACATTATACTATAGCTAATTACAGGATCCCCGCATTCATTGAATGCCTGGAAATATATGAGAATTTTGAAAAAAAAAAATGCTTAGTCTCTTTGTGATTTGATTGTGAGTAATAAGTGTGTCAACATCAGTCTGTTCGGTGAGGGTAACTGCTTATGTGACTAATTGTCTCCTAAGGGACACAAATTTGTCCTCCTCGAGCTGCATGTATCAAATCTCACAATGCTTCTTTTTTTCTTATTTGAGGCATTTCTACACTTAAATTATTTCTTTAAATGAATACAAACTTGCATACCAACATATTTGACATACCAACTTTTCCAGATGGAAAAAGGCCACTAAATTCAATTGATCTGGTAACCAAATAATAAGGCTAATCAGGTATATTCTGTTACATTTTGTTCTAATTTGTTCAATTCTATTCATTATTTATTTCATTATTCTCCATGCATGGTTTCTTTTGTGTGAAATACAAATTTCTCCATACCGTGGTAAATAATTACTAAATTTTAATAAAATAAAACTATTATAATTGGTATTCCAAGTGAGAGAGCATATTTAAACAAATCATGACATTCCTCCAAGGAAATTCACGTGTTCCTCTGTCCATATGAACAGGTAATGCTAAACTGACACGCTCTGACCTGCGCACCACGGCATTTGATGGCTCTCACGTGTAAACCTCCCTGTGTGTTTGATCGTGCGTCGTGGATCTGCACACCAGGTTGCTCAAGCTCTCTGTAATCCCGTGAGACTATTTCAGGTTTTCCATACAGATTAGCCAGAGCATGTGCGTCCGGTTCCACCTCACATGGTACAGCTAATGACTTCACTCATTATTCCATCAAGAGTACCCTACCAAGATGGCTGACAACACTGATCCCAGTTTAGATGAGACTGAAAGCAAAGACATTTTATTTGTATCTGTAGACTGGCCTTATTAATGTAGACATTAATGCGTGTGACTACATGCCTTTGCTGTGTGTTGTTTATTCGCCAGATTGTCCTAATCAAAACGGCGCAAGGCTGTAGAAAATTGCTTTATCAGGATCAGTGCTGAAGTGCTTTCATTTGACTAACATCCTCACTTGAGATTAGATTTAGTCTCTCTCTCTTCCTGCGAGGTTTCTTTCAACACTTCTTTTGCTACTGTGACAACGTTGGGTGTGTGTGCATAGGAGTGTTTTTGTGCAAGTGTGTGTAGTAATCTCTTTTTGCTAACAGGATTTAAAGGGCAACAGTTGAGTTTTTTTCTGTAGGCCACTTAAGGGCCATATTTTAAAATCTCTCAGACTTTGGCCTTCAAAGATTTTCTCTGTTTTTGTTCATTATTTGTCTTTCCTCTGTCTCTCCAATGGAAACACACCTTCTCCATCATTGGGCTTTTCACTTATTCATGCGACTGGAATTCCTTGTGGCGCTGCTTCTCTGCCTCATTCCACCCTCCTCTATAGATTTATATGACTTGCATTAGAATCTCCCATTACTAACATTTCATCTCTCTTCTTTCTTCTTTCTTGCTGGTTGTTTTGAAGAAGGTTGGAAATGTTCCCTATGCACCACAATCTATGTATTATAAAAAGCACAATCTTTTATTTAATTAAACTAACATTTTGCTCTTATCTTGCAGTAATATTACAGGTCCAATGCTAGTTGAAATTCACCGATAACACTTGTGGCTTAATGTTGAGTACTGAAGTCATTTTTGATTTGTCTGTCATTTTCTTCAAAAAAGCGAATAACTGAGGCACAGTGGAAGTAAATGTGGTCAATCCATTAACATTAAAATACTGATTGCAATACCATAACCAATGTAAACAAAATGCATCTTAACATAATTTTGTGAAAAAAAAAGCTTTTCTGTGTCCAGTTTTACAACTTTAAACACCTTAAACTCTAAAATAGAGATAATTGTAGCTGAAATAAAACAGAAGAATTAATGTAAGTGCAAAAAAACTTTTTTTATCCTTTTTTTTTTGTTAAAGAACATGAGGGACATCTCAATTCATATTTGTGGAAACCAACATTATACTTATGCTTATATGCTTTCAATTTAGCTTAACTTGTTTTGAATCTGAAATACTCTTTTAACTTGACAGTATTTAACCCAGTGTTTAGTCGCCCAGATCTGTGCATGTCCTGATAGCGAACGAGCTCTATAAAATTGTCCTTTTATGGCTAATGACGTAGGTATATCATCACCTGTGATGCTTTTTCCATGTGGCACAGTGTTGACCATTTCACAACGGTCTAACAGAAAACTGGACCAGGGATTAGATTTCACACTCCTTTTTTTTTTTTGGTTGGCCATCTGCCTTAGGCTTTGAGTCAGTTGCCAGCCACCTGATGTATCGTCCCTTCTCACTGTGCACCCCCACCTCAAAGATAACCCATTCATTCCATGCATACAGTCACACACAGCCTTGTGTAACATAAAAATCAAGTGCATGTTGTTTGTCTGAGATTGTGTAAGATCGTGTCTCTGGTTTTGCCATGCCTCTATCCTCCAAGGCTCCCACGCGCTTACTCTTACTGTGACCCATCCACCTCCTTCTCCACCAGCCTAAAAGATTTAGCTGACTCCCCTTCCTCAGTATTTCCACCCTGAGGTCAGGTACAACAATGTGTGGCCTACCTCAGAGCAGAACTCCAGTTTTACATAATCCACCACATCCCTGAATGTGAGCATCCAACAGCAGAACTGCTTTAAGCTATTGTGCTGTCTCTCTATAGCTGTAGAGCAGGCGTGATTGCATTCTCCATTTGAATCAGGCTTCATAAAAATGATGCATTTAAGTTTCACTAGAGAATAATATTGCCACTACACATCTTAAAATATGCATTTTTTAGTTCACATTTGACCAGATTGCTTTCGCAGTGTAAACGCTCACCTACTCTCCGCCTGCTGAACTATGCATTATGAAGCTAGCTAGCCAGAAGGAATTTTAACTTTGTTGGCTGAAGTAGCTTATTTGGTTTGAAGATGAAAAACATACCAAGCACAGTAGTCTTTCACCATACCTGATTTCTAAAACGCACAGAGCAGAAGCAAAAGCTGATGTTCTCTGTGTGTTTTTCTGTTGTCTCTGGGCGCCTTCGTATGTAAATTGCACAAGCTTATTTTGTCCATTAGATCAAAAGATCTAAAAATAAAACATACATTTACCCGCCCATAGACCCTCCCCTTGAAGAAATCAGGACCGAAGTGGTTGAAAGTGGACAAAATAGATGGATTAAAACACCAGGTATGTGTTTGTCTCGTCTACTTGTGATCCGATCGACCAAAATGCATCTTAATACCAGGTGTAAAAGGGGCCATTGAGAGGATCAGATGGATGAACAAGCTCTTCCCAAACTTTCATTTAGAATGTCGTCTTGTTTACATTTACATAAATGTTGACATTATATTTTTGTCTAGAAATGAGAAGTTAAACATATTGCCTTGCAAGACTTCATATCCAGCCTTCCTCTATCTGCTTGTTCTGTTCCCATAGCTACAGAGCCTTCTCCCTATCTGTCTATTTGATCACTTTATATAATGTGTACAGACGTGTGTGTCTGTGTGCCTTCCATCACCATGGAGATCTGTCCGCTTGTCTGTTTGATTATGATGTTTGCTTTGTTTATCTTTAGCTATCTTCTGATTTCTAGCAGAAATTCTACACATGAATGTCAGAGCAATGGCCTGTCACCAAGGGACCGAATATTTGTTCACTTCATTTTTATCTGGAGTTTCAGATATGAATTATTTATTCTTGGTTTAATCATACTGTGCGACTTAATTTGCATGTTTTCTCAGTCCTATCTATAAGTCCGTTATTCCACTTGTCTGTTTGTCTCGCAGACAAAGCTGTGCCTCTCAATACAGTAAGGCAAAAATAGCCAGAGTGGTAGAGGCAGAACCAAGAATGACTGCAGAGCATTATGGGAGATGGTCGTCTTTGTGGCAGCGAGTTTTTATTGCCGTGTGTGTTTTCCTTTGAGCTTGAAAGGCTCGTTTTAGGCCAGATGCATTCCTGCAGAGTCCACCACGTGCCATCCTCTCCCTGATGATTTGAAAGCAGTCATATTTTTAGATGTGAAGGTGTTTTGTGTTCTTGCATGGCCGAGAGACAGCCACTAGGCACTCTGTCCATTAAACCAAGCTCTTGCTGTACAAACACAGCAATGTCACCATTGAGAAATAGATTTATGTTTCATCTGTCATGCTTACCCTTTAAAACAGGTGTGTGCATAGCAGTGACTGTCTGCATTTTATTTTATCCAGAAAGAGAGGCACAAATTTGAATGTGTGTGTATCTCCTTAAACTTAATGTTATTTATTTATTTATTTTACTTCTTTAGGACTACAGTAGCATTAAATTGACTTCCAAACTAATAGATATAAAACTTTATATCGCACACTTTTAGTCCACAGATACACTGAGTTATCTATTTAGAGTCTAGTCTCAGCCTCAGACGTCACGCCCACAGACTGTTGGCTGAACATCTGATGCATAAGTCACTCAAAATTGGAAGCACTTCAGGAGTTTCGAAGTCATCATCTGATTTGTTTAATTTTATCGAATTTCAGGGAGATGCGTGTCACATTCTATAACGATCTGCCTGGAAACAAAGCTGTTGTGATGCCAAACCCCCTCATGGAGGAAGAAAGCTGTCATGTTTACAATTGTGACAATGAGCTCTAATCAGGATCAACCAAATTATGGATTTTCAAAAGTATGTGCAGTATAGACTTTTTTTTTAAATATGTCCAAGAGTTTTACCAAAGTCCCTTTCAAAAAAAGTCTCTAAAAAAAGCCTCTAGGCAGCATTTTCGGAAATCCATGACCAAGTCCTGCTATCTATTTTAATGGGAGAATCCTAAAATCTCAAAAACTGCTTGCCAAACTCGCAATTAAATAACATTTCAAATCAGTAACAAAACTGAACAAAACCTAAAAAACGTGTGACATCGCTTAGAGAACCTTTAAGTATACAGGGATAGGCGACCGGCGTTGTGTTCCTATTGGTAGACGTGGATCAGCTGAGAGTCAGCTTGACTAACGTGATCTGCCAGAACTGACCCTATGCTTGAAAACTGGCACATTTTACCCATGCAGACAGCACCAAGAAATCGGTATGATGCCAACACAGAGTCTAACAGGATGTATGAACCTCACACACAGAGCTACTGTTGCTAATAAGGAGAGGAAGAGGGGTAGCGGATGTGAGAGGAGGAGAGAAAGAAAAAGAGTTGAGAGTGAGAGAGGAGGCGGCGAATGATATTAGACTTTGGAGGAGGAAGTGTGTGGAAAGGTTATTGAGAAAATGTGACTTCATATCTGTTTGCTTTTTCTGTGTGTACAACAGAAGTACTAACAAACTGGCTTGAATACTTAATTTGGTCACATTCAAAAATATATAAATTAAGAGAGTAATTCTGTTTATCCAAGTCTAGATATACTTACAGTACAACTGGAGTATCTATGTTTTGTGTTTACTGTGTACTGATAACTGCTCATTTAGATAATTCTACATGGTAACTAACCACCGATCCCACCAAAACGCTGTTAATGTCACGGCAGTAAAACTAAGGTGAATTTTTATTAGGGCCACTGGCATCAAAAATAATTTAAATTGACAAAGATTTGGTAAGCATTTTATACTGAGGGTATTACTTTAATATTCTTTTAAAAAATAAGAACAATTTTTGACAGACACTATAATTGACATGCTACATTTTGTAAGGGAGTGTATTACATTAGCAAAATAAGCCTGACGTACTCTAAATTTAGGTCTGTTCCACACCTTTATCGACTGATTTCACACATACACAAATTCTGGCTTTGAGAGTGAGCACACCCACCTCTCGTGTGCTCATTGAATAAGGATTTTCAAGCACAGTTTTCTTGAATTAGTCAGGTTTCTTGTGCCATAGAAGGAATAACCCACTTTTATGTGGGAAAACCTTTTTTGCAGCTTTTGTAATTAAGCGGTTAAATCCTCGTTGAAGTGGCATCACGTTGCAAAATATAGATGATTTCTTCGAAAGGATAGGATGGGTTTTTATTTTTTTCTTACTTTTTATTTATTTATTTTGTATTTTTATGTATACGGCTCTGTTGTAGTAGTTATTTTATCAAATTGGTCTGTGCTGTGATTGCATTTTTTTTATTCAAACTTCATGGGGTATAATTACACTTTTTTAAAAATGATAAAATTATGATGTGCCATTGCATTAACATGCATTTTTCTTCCATACCCATTTTTCCCTGCTTTACATCCAATGTGGTAAATATCCCTTCCAAATAACTTGTAATAAATCTGAGACACAATCCCTTATCAGCAGCCTGAAGTACTCCAAAGAAGTCTGAAATATATTATATAGATCCTCATAAAAACTTCATTTAGCTGTGTCTGATATTCCTGTCTGCAAACTCAGCAACATGAAAGAATGAGTGGTGAGGAGGCCCAAGCCACAAATCATGTGACTGCCTAAACTCTCATTATTTTGCATCAGTCATATTCTCTTCACCTCTAAGGCTGCTGGATTTAATGCCTCAGTTTGTGAGGCTAGTAAAACACATGATGAGTATGCTAGCCAGATCATGCAGAGGTGTTTAGTGGCCGTTAAACTAAATGACTCAAAATTGATGTTTCATTATTGAAGTCTGTGACCTGTAAGTCAAACAGATGTGTTTCTGTTCAGTCTACATTACATTGATTGCCTCCATCTGATTTGTAATTTATAATTTATTTGGCACATGGGAAGATTGCTTTGTTGCTGATGAATTACATGAATAGGAGTTGAGTGCAACTTTTATTTTTATTTCCAAGTCCATGTTTTTAGAAGCGAGAGCAGACATCTGTTTTTGCTCATCATTTTTATGACTGGTAATGATGCGATTCAGGGAATATTAATGCAGTGTTGATCTGACTGTTTGAAAGTCTTTTAAAAAATGTTTTGTTTTCGTCACCATCAAAAAAAAAAAGTAAATGTTACTTAACATTTCGTCTCCTTGCTCTTTAATAGTTGGTTATGTTTCCTTAGATAGGATAAGAATAATTTATCCTTTGCTTCTGATGTACCTCATCACATCTATCTTTTATCTTATATGGTTTCATTAGGATTGTGTTTTTGTCCACAACATACAGTATAGCATTGGCATTGTGTGTGGAATGAAATATTCTTTTCTCAGTGTCTTTGCCCTCGCATGGCACAGGGATCCCAGACCTCCTCTAGAATTAGACTGAACCCTGCAGCTAAGCCATTGAAGCACCACAATGTAACTAAGCATGCCTCAGCACTGAAGCCTAACATAGATCGCTCTGGATTTACGTCAGCCAGTGGGGCATGATTCCTCATGAGAGGACTGCCTGCATGTGGCATCTACATCCCCCACGAACATGTAATATTCATCTCTGACGTTACCATTTGTGGTGCATCCTGTGTTAAGGAGTGCTCTTCTTGATGTCACAATGTTCAGTGTTTTTCTTTAGAAAATATATATTTGAAATCTTCTAAATAAAATCCTGTGGGATGCAATAGTTTTGGGGAGACAGCCATTATAAACAGTTGTTTAGTTTTAATTGAGCTGTGTTCAAATCACACTCATGGCTTGAGTGGGGGATGGAATTTTTTCCCATCGGGTCTCTCAAAGTAAATTAAGCTGAAAGCATGCTAGTAACTATAGAGCGCATTTCCTTTATTATATTTTCAAATGTGTTTTCTAGAAGGTTTAATTAGCTTCAAATAGACACATTTACTGTAATTCTTTTCCATCAGAAACATCAACTTTGGCAATCCTAAATTTGAGAATTACCATATCCCCATAGCACTGCCTGAACCTGCTTTATATTTTAGCTTGTTTTACTCGTCTAAACAGAAAGACAAATACACCCACCTCCACACATACAAATGTATATGTGTTCACACCACATATACATTCGCATCTTTAACCTGTAGTTGAGGTGCAGTTTTTTTTCTTCTGACATTGAGCTGATAAAGCTTCACCCCATTACTATTAATAATAAATGAACAATCCCTTAAGTTACATAAATTTAAAAAGCACACCATAAATAGAATGAGTTATCCTTCTGCTGTAGCATTAGAGGTTTACTAGTTAGCTGTGTTGGTCAACATGGAAAAATCACTGAATTAGAGGATGGAAATAGCAGTTCATCTTCAATACTTTTCAAATATGCTGTTATTCCTTCTTTTACAGAAAGAATGGCTCTGCCTAAACTGCCAGACACAAAGGGCTCTCTCTGGGCAACTTGGGGATATGCCACCTCCACCTTCTCCATCCAAGCTACCAGCCAAACATGAACCCACCCCTCCCTCCTCCCCAGCCCGTGCCGTATCCTCCCTGCCTTCCTCTCCTGCACCCACTGCCACCCCTGCCAAAGGGCTTACACGGATGCCCAGCATTACTCAGGCCCTGGATGACAAGTCTGAGCCAGTCTCAGCCAAAGTCGATGCTAAAGATGTCAAAAATACAGATACAGAACAAGGGGTTACAGCAGAGCCAATACCGAATAGTACACAGGTAGTACCAGAAGAGACCAAAAAACAAGCACCTGACACCCTGACTGAAAATGCAGAAAGCATAACGACTCCACCTGAGCAAATAGCTAGGGAAGATACAGCAGACGTTAAAGGGGCAAATGTAGAACAGGCTGAATCTGTACAACTAATTGAGGCCCCTGCAGAGATACAGAAAGCAGAGAAAAGTGAGCCAGAACAGTGCCAGGTCCAAGATCCAGAATACGCCAACAAAGTTGAAACGGAGCCTGAAAACAGTCAGGAAGTCCCTATATGTAATAATGTTACTCAGACCCTTCTGGTTAGTGATATGGAAGCTATTCCAGAGAAAGACATAGAGACACAATCCACTGAGACATCAGAGACAGCCCCACAGATTGAAATGACAGAGCCCAATGCATGCTCTCCTATAAACAAGGAACCACACAGTCAGACTCGAGAGAAACAATCTGAAGAGCTCAGACTACCCTCAAATGTAGATGCAGTAGATAACATGTCTGTAAAGGAAAGCTCGATAGAAACAGCAACTACTGATCCTGATCAAAGTAGCATAGGGAATGTGCCAGAAAGGAAACCTGAGGCTTCTGTACAATTTGAGGCACCAAAGATTGAGTGCAGTGATGATCGCCTATCCCATAATTTTTCCAATCAAGAAGAATCTGCAGCGGCGAAAAATAAAGGAGATCAACTTAAAAATATGGAACATGGGGTCATAGAGGAGGCCAATTTAGAAAACAAATTAACAGAGCAGTTTAAAGACCATACAGAGTTAACCCCCCAAAACAATTTAAATGTATGTGACACAGAAGAGCGTATTTTACAAATCCAAGAGATAAAAGACCCATTCAAGAAGTCAGAAGTCACTAGCAAAGATTCTAATCTTATGCAAAATAATATTTCTGTAGATAAAAAGGATGAAATCTCTGAAAAAAGTACAATAGAAGATAAGATAGAGGTAGAGGACACATCACAGATACAGTTAGGTATGCCCTCACCATCTCCAGTTACTGAGCAGTGCACTAAAGAGCAATTTGCAGAAAAAGAGGATACACCACTGGAAACGGAACAGATGAGCACAGATAAATCATTGCTGGAAAAACTAATGCCAGATCAAGCAGGTGGAGATTTAGAGATGATCGAGAACGCAGAACAGAAAGTCACTATCCAGCCTGTTTCTGACAACAACATTTTTGAATTTGGCCCTGAAAGCACTTTCTCTGATCAAGGTGTTAGTCCAGATACAAACAGAGAAGAGAAAAAGATGGGGGATACATGCTCTCCAGTCTTTCGAGAGGCTGATCCCAAACCAGAGCTAAAAACATCAGAAAGAGATCAAGTCTATGAGGAAAAACCAGAGTCAGATGCTGTTATTACTGAGAATAAGAAGGAATGTATAGGCATTAGAGATGAACTGTCCTCTGATAATAATACAAATGTTACAGAGATGGTAGAACAATTATTGCCTGAAGAGAAGGAAGTTATAGAACAGTCTTCCATATCAAGTGGTCTTACTGACCAAAAAAAAGAAGTCCCCTCATCCCCTGTGGTTTGTGAGAGTGAAGATGCAGAAGCAGCAATTGAGATCAAGCCTGTAGAAATACAGCCTACACAACAAACCCAAACTCCTTCTGTAACTGAGGTGGTAGAAAAAGTATTGGCAGAACAGAAGGATAATGAGCAGATTCCAGACTCTATGACTGAAAAGGTTCTAGAACAGTCTGCCATACCAAAGGGTCTTACTGACCAGAAAATAGTCCTTTCATCCCCCATGGTTAGTGAGAGTGAAGATGCAGGAGCAGTAAGTGAAATTAAGTCTGAAGAGATGCAGTCTACACAACAAAGTCAAACTCCTTCTGTAAATGAGGTGGTAGACAGAGTATTGCCAGAACAGAAGGATAATGAGCAAATTCCAGACTCTATGACTGAAAAGGCTCTAGAACAGTCTGCCATACCAAAGGGTCTTACTGACCAGAAAATAGACCTTTCATCCCCTGCGTTTAGTGAGAAGGAAGACATAAAAGCAGTAATTGAAATCAAGTCTGAAGAGATGCAGTCTACCCAACAAGCCCAAACCCCTGCTGTAACATTTACCATATCTAGAGAGAAAGATAAATTACCCAGTGAAGGGCTGACGGAAAACGCACTGGTTGTAACTGACCAGAATATTACCAAAAAAACTGAACTTCAATTTACAGCTGACTGTCTGCCCCATAGTCTAGACCATGATGTAGAACTAGCCTCCCCATCCTCTACATTTAGCCAACAGGAAAGAAACAAATCAGAGGAGTTGACTTCTGAAGCACAAGAGAGACAGGATGATGTGCTACAGCCATTGATAAAGCCTATTAAAATTGATGAATCTGGAGAGGTAACTGTACATGTAGCTGTAGAGGTAATTCTTGTGCGTACATATTGTAGGATCACTGTAGATAGTATCCCAAAGTTTATTTTAATTTAGTTATTTTTCATTTCTCCTTTTTAATACAATTTATGTTTTATTATGCCTTGAAAACAGCTCAGATTCTAATTAATTTTCTGTTTTGTAGAAAAAAGAAGAGGCTGCTGTCTCAATAAAAGACAATGAGCTACTGAAGGAGCCTATCGAGAAAGAGAGAGAAAGCAGCCCCACAAGTCCTTCAGACCTGGCCAAGTTGGAAAGTACTGTCCTCCCAATCCTAGAGGCTCAGACATCATCAAAAGAGGAATCACAAACTGAAACTCCAAAAGTCAAGCGTCGACTGGAGGTGTTGCCAATGTCTCCAGTGTCACCCAGCTCGGAGGATGACCAACATGAAGAAACTAAAGAGCAAAGGAACAATGCTCCAAAAAAAGAGAGGAAAAAGCTTCTGGTTCCAACTGATTTTCAAGGTGATTCTTTTGAGGAAAGTAGTGAGGGAGAACCTTCACCTAAACTACAAAGCAAAAATACTTCTGGAGATAACAAAGTAGAAATGGAGAGTCCAATGGATGAAGAGGATTTTATCAGGAAGCAGATCATAGAGATGAGCGCAGATGAAGATGCATCACCGTCTGATGAAGAAAACCTTGCCAGACGTAAAATCAAAGATCAAGAGAAGAAGCAAATGGAACCGAATGCACAAAAAGAGGTAAAGGACAAAAGTGAATCAGGCAAGTCCAGACGTCTTCTCAAAAATAGTAGTTTCAGTCCAGAAGATGAACCTGAACAAAAGAGTATTATCTCTGTTACTAAAATTGAGGAACTAGCTAAAGGAGAACAACCTTCAGTAGACAGTGGAGCTGGCATACGGCATTTCAAAACAATTGAGCTTAACAGTACAGCAACTGTACGTCAGACATCAGATGACGGTGAGCTAGAAAGCCTAACAGACTCTCCCGATGACAGGTCAAGAGGTGAAGGCTCTTCCAGTTTACATGCATCCAGCTTTACCCCAGGAACATCTCCAACATCTTTGTCTTCTCTTGATGAAGACAGTGACAGCAGCAGCCCAAGTCATGTTCGGTCTAGTGGTGAGGGCAAGCAGCAGAGAAAAGCAAAGCACCGGCAGCCAGGTCAGACGCTCCCTACCATTGAGGATTCATCAGAGGAAGAGGAGCTGCGAGAAGAGGAGGAGCTTCTGAGAGAACAGGAGAAGCAAAAGGGCACAGGAAAAAAGTCAAAGAAAGACAAAGAAGAGATAAGGGCACATAGAAGAAGAGAAAGGCCCAAAACTCCACCAAGCAACCTCTCCCCTATTGAGGATGCTTCTCCCACAGAAGAGCTACGACAGGAAGCAGAGATGGAGGAAATCCGCAGGTCTTCCTGCTCAGACCTCTCCCCAAGCATGGAGTCAGAACCAGAGAGCTTTGAGATACTACCAGAGAAGATTGTTGCTGTCCAAAAAGTGTATCAGTTACCAACTTCGGTTTCACTGTATTCTCCAACAGATGAGCAACATGTTGATAATCAGTTCAAAGGAAGGGGAAAGCCTTCATTAAAAAGTGCAGATGAGGTATATGAAGAGATAATGCTCAAAGCCAAATCTCCAACTAATGAGGGAAACAAACCCCCACCCGGTAAAGAATCTCTTTATGGAGGCATGCTGATAGAAGATTATGCGTATGAGTCTCTTGTTGATGATGCACCCTGTGAGCAAGAGCCAGACAAGCTTTTTGTGTCAGAGAAACCCCCCAAAAAACTGAGATCACCTGATGAGGTTTATGAGGACATGATGCAAAGAAAGAAAGACATAATGCTTAAAGAACATGAGCAAACACACAATAAGCCAGAAGAAGATGTTTCTAAACCAGAAACTGTGGTTTATGATACTGACTCAAGCAAAGACACTATGTCATCAAGCAACACAGGCCAGTCTAGGAAGGATGGAAGGCCATTATTAGATGCAGAGGCAGCCTATGAAGAACTTCTGAAGAAGCAAAGAGCAGTGCTGACTCCAGGAACCAGTCCAACTCAAGCAGGTCCTGATTTGACTGCCATGGCACAAGGGTCAACAATAGCCCAAGTTGAGAAAACTGAGACAACACCCCTACGAAGAATACTGCCTATACCTGATCTGAGAGTGACACAGTGTTCATCAGGTGAAGAGGAATCTGGAGAAGAGAGCATTTCCGATCAAACACAGGACTCTAAGAACGTTTCAGCTACAAAGACTGAACCAGAACCACTTGTGGATGAGGCTTTCCAGAAAACATCAGTCTCAAAGACAGTTGTAGAAGATTTGTCACTACAAAGAGAAGTAGCATTGCCTGCCATATCAAGTGACTCACAGGATGCCACAGAGAAAGATGTAGAAATTGATCAGACAGGTGTTGTTGACTTGTCCAAGTCACCGGTCCCTACTCAAAGTGACTCTGTTACAGCACCAGTTCCTAGTGTCATTTCAAGACAGTCAGCCCCAGTAGTTGTAAGTGTATCACCCTTGTCCACTGTACCGCAATATATCGTATCTACTATACCTGGTGTCGTATCAACTGCTCCACCAGTTCCTCCTAAACCCATAGTACTGCGCAGGGCTGCATCTTTAGAAAAAGCAGACATCCCAGTTCCTCCACCCCTCCCTCCTCCAACACTGCCCAAACCTTCTGTGTATCCCAAAAAGACTCCACCTCAGGTCCCCCCAAGAACTACTCCAGTTGGCATGCCAATCACAGGAGACAGTGTACCAGTTAAACAGCCACTTGCTCCAGCCTACAAGCCCCATGTTCCTCCTCCTGTACCACCAAAGCCATCCTCCATCCCTGCAGGCCTAACTTTTAGTCACAAACCAGGAGAGACTATTAAACCTCCCATAGCTCCTAAACCCATAGCTGGTGTTCAGCCACCCATTACAGTCCACACCCCTTCAAGACCTACCATACTGAGTACAAGCAGTGCAGACAGTGTCCTTAATCTGAGTCCTTCTGCAGAGAGTAGGATGGGAACCACATCTCCCCTGAGGTCCCCTACATCACCCAGGTTTGGAAAGGTTTTACGTGACACTTATGTTGTTATTACTTTGCCATCTCAGCCCGGTTCACCTACAGAAAGTATCACAACTCAAGCCTCAATAAGTCCTAGCCAAGAATCCCCTCAGAAACTGCCTCCTACACCACCTCAACCACCTCCACAGTCACAAACAGCAAGAGTACCTTTGGCATTCACACGAATTACTGAATCTATTGAAAGTCAAGAAATATGTGGTCCAGAGAAGGTAGTTTCTAGCATGAGTCACGTATACGAGGCTATTTCAGCCTCAACGCAGCCTCAATCAATTACTCCAAATGTTGGTGTTCAGGTAGTTACCACTGAAGTCCAAAGAACCACAGTGTCTGTTGTGCATGAAAGAACTCCCCCTCCACATCCCATTCCAAGAACCACTGGCATCTCTGTTGTAAAAGAAAACTCAAAACATGAATCAGTTCAAGCTCAGAATGGCCATGCCTACCATCCTGGTGAGGTTGTGGATCTCCGAACCCCAAAGATAGATGTAGAGACATCCATAAAAGGTGTGGATCTGTCTTCCTCTGAGTCAAGACGACTGTCCATTCCTATTGATGGTGGTGGACGTCAGCAAAGTGCTGTGCAGCCATCTGTAGTAAACCTAAGCACTGATGCTTCCTCAGTCTCAGTGGTTACTGACAACATCACCATCCTCACATGCACAGCCACTGTAGCTTATGGTAGTGATGCATCTCTGTCTACATCACTGCCTCTCCAACTTACAACAGCTAAATCCTTTGAGCCTGTGACTCAAATTATTTACAGACCGGTGGCTTCTCAACCAGAAAAACCCATAAATCTCTCTACAACAATGGGTAAAACTCACTCTGTTCCTGTAACAATAGCTCCTACAATTGCAAACAATAGCATTGGTGCAACTTTACCTCCTCGCCTAGAAACAGGTTTATCAGGTGCAGTTGATCTCACCACAGTAAAACCTGCACAAACCATGGTTGCAATGAATGGATCCACTGCAGAGGTGGTCACTGCTGTAATTACAGAGGAAGATGGAAAACCAGTTGATCTTACTGCTGGAAGAAGAGCAGTCTGCTGTGATGTAGTCTATAAGCTTCCTTTTGCAAGTAGCTGTACAACTCAGCAGCCTTCAGCTCCTTTACCAGAGGATCGTTTTGGCTACAGAGATGACCATTATCAATACGATCGTACTCCTTATGGTATGAGAGGTCTTGGTGGCATTAAACCCTCTATGTCTGACACAAACTTGGCTGAGGCTGGTCTCTTCCTATATAAAAGTAAGCATAGCTTTGATTACAAGGAGGCCATTGAAGGTGCTGTAGACCTGACATCGGGAAAAATGTTAGTGACAGGTCAGTACGAGATTGAAGATCTTTCTTCTCAATTTCATTTTGAGTTACCTCTACTCATTCCCAGCTGATGTTTTTGTATGCCTGCTTTTTTTCCTCTCTTGTTCTGGGAAGAATGTTTGCATGCTCCTCTCTTTTTTTTCTTTTTCCTTTTTTTTTTTTTTTTGCTGCGTCTGCATGTTGCTGCATGCTTTTCAACTTACATTTTGCTGTTTTAATTTTTTATCGTTTGGATGGTGCATGGATGCCTTGATGCTGTTACCATTGCACTATTTTAATGTGCTGAGCTTTAATCTAACAAAATAAACTTTTAACAGGTGAAGCTGTGGACTATTCAAGCAAATCAACAGGAGTGTGCACTGGAATGACAGTTCCACAGTACACACAAGCCAGGATTACTTCAGCAGTTGGAACCCACTATGGGATTTCTAGCGTCCTAAGATCTTCCAATGGCATTGTTTATTCTTCTGTAGCAGCACCAGTTCCTTCTACATATGCCATAACCACCCAGCCTGGTTCTATCTTCAGCACATCCTACAATTCTCTATCAGGCATGCACACAAGTGATACTATGCCATCATTGTCAACTCTACAGAATCAACCTCTTACTAGATCACACAGCTTTCTTTCAACCATTGCTATAACCACAGCAGAAGAACAAAGCAACTTACCCTTAAATCTTGAGACAGGTGTTTCAAAGGCTGGCCTTTTCACAATTCCCTCAGATGTAGTTTCTACAGCCACCACAGTGGCAGGACTGGACACCTACACAAATGCTTCACTTGAGGCAATTGCAGCCTCTTTAGAGGCTCTGTCTTCACCTGTTGTTCCAGGAGACGGACAGTACCAGATGGAACGTGAGCTTCTTGAGCTAGAGAAGATGAAGCAGCAGCGCTTGGCTGAAGAACTTGAGTGGGAGAGGAATGAGATACAGCGATTCCGTGAGCAGGAACAGCTTCTTGTGCAGAAGGAGCTGGAAGAACTCCAGGCCATGAAACAGCAAATACTATGTCAGCAAGAAGAGGAGAGACAGGCCCACCTGATGATGCAAAAGGAGACTTATGCTCAGCAACAGGAGCAGTTAGAGCAGATCCAAAGACTCCAAGAACAGCTGCGACAACAGTTGGAGGAACAAAAGTTCAGGCAAATGTATCCAAGTGAAGTCCTGCCAGAGGCTCTTGTGTTGGTGGGAGAAAGAAAGATGGATAGTGGCTGTCAGACTGATGAAGAGGATAACACTGAAAAGGCCTACACTGCAGGAAGGAAGAAGAAAAGTACAAAGAAAAGTGTTGACAGCTGTGTACAGACAGATGATGAAGACCAGGATGATTGGGAAGTTCCTACTCGAGGCAGGCGCAGTAGACCACGTGGTGGTAAAAATGGCATAGGTGAAAGAGGAGCTGTTTCAGTTCAGGCCCTTACTGAAATCTCTGTACAAACAGACTCCTCTGGAACACTAAGGGGACACTCTGTGCAGGTAGATGCTAGAGTAGATTATCCTGACTCCGATAGAACTTCCTCTCCAAAGAGACGCCCCACTCCACTTGATATAAGCCAGTCCCCTCATCTCAAAGCAGATGCCTCCACTCTCCAGGTTGTGCCAGGTCCTCCCAAATCCCCAAAAGTTCTGTACTCTCCGATTTCCCCTTGTGTATCCCCTAGCAAATCCCTTGAGTATTTGTCCTATGAGAAATCCCTTGGAGATACAAGCCCACAGAGAATACGCTCTGCCACAGATCTATCCAAAGGTCCACCAACAAGTCCTAGGGCACCCAAGGTCATACAAAGGTCAATGTCTGACCCTAAACCAATGAGTCCTACTGCAGAAGAGAGGGCAGCAGCAAATTTCCAGTTTTCTGAGGGTTATTCTGTGAGTATACATGGTTTTATAAGTTTTTATATGATTCATCTCTGCTTCATATCAACTCTGAAAAATGCTGAAATTCCATTGAATATTTTCTTTAAGTAATTCTTTCTCAGTGTATGGTTTTTAAATTTTGAATACCATAAAGCAGTTTGATAAATTTGATATATTTATATTATTCAGTTTTCAATTGATTTAATTTATTGTTTTATTGGGTCCCACTTTATATCAAGTGGCTTTAAGGGGGGGAAGGTGTAAGGGAAACTGTGTAATTACAAATGTACAACTTTATAGGTATTTTTAAAATATAAGTACAATGTAGAAACATGTACTCAATAAGTCCATTGTATCAAATTATTCATTTCAATGTAAGTATATTGTACTTAAAGCCACTTAATACAAAGTGGGACCGAACGCCCTTTAAAGGCATAGCAGCATTCTCAGTCAAACTGGAAAACACAAGTGTTGTGTGGTTACTTGTTTTTATAGTGCTTCCATGAAACCATCTTTAAGCCATTTAATGCATTTATTCCTTTGAACAATTCAGCTTGAAAATAAGTTAGTCTGAATAAAACTGTTTTGTCATTTAACGCTATTTTTATTTGTCCTCCATAGGCAAAGGGATCTCCAAGTGGAACTCCATCTGGCACCCAAAAGAAAGTTAAAAGAACCCTTCCCAACCCACCATCTGAGGAAGAAGCTGTCAATGCTGGACAAACAGCCTACACCACTGGCTCAGCTCGTCGGCGTCTCTGCCGGAGCACCAACATGGCACGTGCGAAAATTCTGCAGGACATTGACCGCGAGCTTGACCTGGTTGAGAGAGAGTCCTCCAAACTGCGTAAAAAGCAAGCTGAACTGGATGAGGAAGAAAAGGAGATTGATGCCAAGCTGCGATACCTGGAGATGGGCATTAACCGACGAAAGGATGCATTGCTCAAAGAAAGGGAGAAGAGGGAAAGGGCCTATCTGCAGAGTGTTGCAGAGGACCGTGACTACATGTCTGACAGTGAGGTGAGTAACATTCGTGAGACAAGAAGTGGAGAGGAGGCCGGTGGACATGGGCTTGAGAGACCACGTACTGCACCACAGTCAGAACTTGATGAGTTTGTTCCTCCACAGACCAAGCACGACCAGTACGGAAAGTATTCCCAGTACCAGTACTCACAGTACCAGCAGTCCCTGTACCAGCCTCAGTTGCCATACCAATCTCAGTCCATCTACTCTTCTGTTCCTTCTCTGACTGCCTCACAACAACAGAGCTACCACCAAATGCTCTTGCTCCAGCAGAAAGCCAGACAACAAGCTGCTCTCCTCTCTGAATTAGATTCTACCAAGATTGCCGCCAACTATGACACCTCATCTTACTTGGGAGGAAAATATGGCAACCACCTTGACATGCATAGCTTAGAAGAGCGTGCTGACAGCATGGCAGTCAGTCCAATGTCCAATGTATCTGCTGACTCCTTCTATGCAGACTTAGATCCACATCAAACACCAAGGAGCTACATGCTTTTAGAAGATGCAGCAGAACTTGCAAAGAGCACTGGTAGCCTTTCATCCACCAGCTATGGCATAGCTGAGAGGGAGCTGGCTAAAGCAGAGCGTCTTCTGAGACATGCTGCTGCAGATGTTGGTACAGACTACTTGGGCAGCTCCTCCAGACTTCATTCCTATGGTAAGGCCCAGGATGAAGAGGACCCAATGGAAGAGCCATTTGAACTGAAGCTTTTAAAACAGCAACTGAAGCAGGAATTCAGGAGAAGCACAGGGGGCACTGAAAGCTTAGAGCAGCTTGCTGGACTCTCACATCACTATACCCCCAGCACTGGAGTGTCTAGTGGAGGTTACAGGGCCTACCCTAAAACTGAGAAGTACAGCATCAGTAGACTGACTTTAGAAAAACAGGCTGCCAAGCAACTCCCAACATCTGTGCTCTACCAGAAACACAAAACCACCAGTAACATTGGCAAGTATTCCTCAATGCAGGATAGCAGGGGTCTAGAAACAGACTATAGTAGCTACTTGGGGTCCAGTAGTGCTTCTCCCAGGTCAAGCAGACTTCTACAGGATGAGATCACCTTTGGGCTTCGCAAGAATATTGCTGAACAGCAGAAATACCTGGGCTCCACACTTGGAGCTAATTTGGCAGGTTCACTTAATCTGGGCCAAAGCCTGAATCTGAGCCCAGGCATGAGATCCTCTTTGGGTGAAGACTCTGCTTACCCCAGTGGAAGCAGGTCACGGCCTTCATCTAGACCCTCCTCTGTTTATGGCCTTGACCTGTCCATTAAAAGGGACATCTCAAGTTCTTCTCTGAGGCTCAAAGCAGAAGGTGACCCCTCCTCAGAGACCTCAGCTTTCCAGACTCCATCAGGGAGGACAAAACCTACAAGCCTGCCCATTGTACAAAGTGGGCGTGGACGCATCCCTATTGTGGCACAGAACTCAGAAGAAGAGAGCCCACTGAGTCCAGTGGGTCAGCCAATGGGTATGGCACGGGCATCTGCAGGTCCGCTCCCACCCATATCTGCTGATTCTCGGGATCAATTTGGGTCATGTATGTCCCTCCAAGACCCTCAACAGCAACATCTCAGAGAAGATTCTTCAAGAGGACGTGGCTATGTGCTAATGGATGATCTGCAGGGCACCATGTCTGATAGTGAAGGTAATTTGTTTGTCCACAGACTGTCCACTTGGAGTGACTCTTCATACACTGTTTCTGTTTTTATGTTTTCATCCTTTCCAAGTGCCCATTTCTGTCTATATGAAGGCATCAATTCTCTAAATATGTTTTTTTCTGTTGTTCAAGCTTCATTTCATTGTGTGAATACTGATAGTGCATGCTTTCAGTCTCTGCAAGTTCAGTTTATATGTACATGTGCTGTCTGAGTGGGATAAATGAGAAAAAAAATACCTATTATAAATCTCTCTTTTTAGTAGCAGAGTTATAGTCTTATGGTCTATAGTCTTATCGTTAACAATTGAGCTGCATATGTTTATGATTTAGTCATCTTATTAGTTATCTTAACGTGCCTTCTAGCTAAATCTTCATATTCATAATTTAACTACACAGAATCTCTTTACCTCTTGTTTGCTTTATAGAAATGTCACATTTTATTTAAAACGTCAACAAAATACTATTGATGCTATTGACGAGATATTTTATTTTGCTATGTATAATGTCAGGCATTCATTTTTTTAATTTATTTTAAAAAGTTTTAGTTTCCTTCCATAGTGAAAATGTTATGGCCTAAGCCTATATACAAAATGTCATAGCTCATACATCTATTTCTCCACGATAGATGATAATCTTCATGCATGTTGCTAGCATTTCCTGGAGTAATTATCATGCCAGTTTTTGTTTGCATGTTTGATGTTCAATAAATAGCAGAAGTGATTTGCATGTCTCTTCCTGTCTGGTTTTAAATAAACTTGTTCACTTTTCTGCATGTTTATTTGCTTTCTTTTGCTCTCCAGGAACTAATAAATGCCTTCAAATAGACAGGGCTATGTTTTTTTCTTCTCAGCTTTGTGTTAATATTGTTTTTTTGATTTCTGCCTATAATGAAATTTAAAGTATTTTTAAGACTGATGAGATCAAAATATAGTAGTTGATGTGCATTGCATGCCCCTTTCCCTCATTAACTGCTAAATGAATGAAATTACATGAACTTAACTGCACTGTACGTTGCAAAAAACATGAATATTGTAATTTATACACAATATAATCACATAACCACAAAACTGAAGCTCATACCGAAAATACTAGTTTTTTTTTCTTTTCTTCTTCATTTATCTATGTAGTAACTAACCCCAAACATGTAACAGCATATGATGTGTTCATCATATGTGCCATCTGGAAGTAAATGCATTTGCCTTGGTTGCAGCACTAAGTGAATCCCTGGTGGGTTTGTGCAGAGACGATCCAGGAAACTCACATGAGAATGTCACAAACGGTAGAGTATAACCACCTTAGACTCCTGCACGTCTCCCGTCTCCCCCACACCCCTGCTACCATGACCACCCACCCGCCAATCACCCATGAGCTGTTAGGCAGCCAAATTGACCACAAATTCATCTCCATAACAACATGTTGCAGGAAGTATGACGGATTTGCACAATAACTAAATGCTGTGTTAGTGAATACAGCTCTTGCATCTGTGATCAAATTGGAATTTCACTCTCCTTTCTCTCCAAAAACAACAAAGTTTCCCAGTTTAAGCTGCTGCAATTTCACCAATTTGGTGAACAAAAAAATCATTCATGTAATACTAGTAATAGTTTGCATATCACAGTATTAACTTCCTGATAAAACTGGTCGCAATCATAAAGCAAAATGACCATAGATACTTTATACTGTAGACAATAGAACTATGTGTTAGTGAGTGTTATGTCATGTAACAGGATCTACATCTGTCATGTCATTTACATCTGAGTGTCAGGTCTGTAAACACCAGAATTGTCTTCTGTTAAATTCCTCTTCAAAACCTGAGGTCAGTTATTTAGTTATCCATTATAAAAGTTCCCAAGAAATGAAAAGCTACTCCCTATTACCCTTTTCCACTCAATAGCTAAAAGGCCCAAGATGGTATGGCAAAATATTTCTAGTACCCCTGTCTGTCTTTAACCCCTATTCATGAAAACTTAAGCAGCAAGCAGACTTGCTCTAAATCTTTTTACAGAATTCTTATGTATAGGAAAAAAACTGAAGATTTACGTCCTCCGGGTTTGTTTTAGTTTTAGGTTTGCATGCAAAAATAACTGCTCTACTTTATATAACCATTTCCTTTTTTGCCCCAGATGGCTCTATATTGTTAAAATTTGAGACCGCATACATACCTTAGCTGTCTCTAGTACCTAATATTACCTGTCTTTAGGGATTTGCTGTAACAGACTGGCACGCAAGACTTTAACGTTATAATTTCCATCTGTTTATCTGAAGCGTACCACCTGCGACGGGAGGAAACTGACTGGTTTGATAAACCACGAGATGGACGCACAGAAAATGGACAAGGGGTGGACAGAAGACAGGTATCTTCTATCACAGTATTTTAGAAACATATCCTTGCATGTTAGAGTGTAATGAAAATGTGCTTATCTTATGTCCCTTTAGGGAAAGTCATCACACTACCCGTTTCCTCATACCAGAATAAAACTGCAGAGGGATCCCAAAGATCGTAGTGTATCAGGTAAGACGTGCAACCTCTCAAATGCTTTGCTGCTTGGCTTCCTGACATACTCCAACAATGTAAACAGACGTTTAGGACAGCTGCCCCTGGTAAAAGAGGATCTGTTCACTTACCAGGCCATCATGGAAAGATGCCCGAGGCTTATGTCTATGCAAACATTAGTTTCTCCATGCTGAGATTGCCTTGGCACAGTTTTTTTGATGCCTACTACTAAACAACACGTTATCTCTCCTCTAATTTCCTTTTAGCGTCCTCTTGTGGTGCTCTATTTTGCCACATCATTACACACAAAATGTCAACAGACAGCAAACCGCTCAGCAAAAGCACATCAGCGGTCTCGCCCCTCCTCGTGCTTTGGCATGTCACATAGGTTTGGTTGATTTTCCTCGACCTCTTGTGTCACTGTTCCTTTAAGTATTAGAAACGGGAAGACATCACGCAGCGAGATTGGCATCCCTCCAGTTTCGTCAGTCATCAAAGCTCAAAATGGCGTGTAATGCCCAAAGTGGATTATCTTCTTAATTAGAAACTGATGAACAAATAAGTGACTTAAGAAAGACAATGAATAAGACTATGGCGAGTTTACTGTGGTGTGATTTGTGTGTACAGTGGTAGTTTGTTAGTCTGATGGAAGGGTCTGTGATTCTGAATACGGGATGTACGTCACAACAAATGCTGTTCTGCTGGAAACAATTGAAATTTAAGGGAATGTAAAAGTGGGAGTTGCAGTGCAAATTAATACACACTCTTAGTAGAAATGGTTCTATTTAGAACCAGAAATGGTTCCATCCCCCGCTTCATATATGGAACTCCAAAATGGTTCTATATAGAACCATTTTTTTTTTTTGTAAAAGGTTCAATTGGCCAAGTATGGAACCCCAGGGTTCTATATAGAACCCAGAGGAACCCTTTTTTAAGAGTGTATAGAACCTTTTAGGGGTTCCAAATACGTAGCACTGATTGAACCTTTTAAGGTTCTATATAGAACCTTTCTTCATAACCCATAGCATAACCATGATTTAAAGTAGTGTGGGTTTTATTTTACTGACTTTTTTACCCAACAGATATAGCAGAATGTAGGTTCACAATAATTATTTTAGTTCTTTATTGGCATGTATGGTTCCTAGAAGATCCTTTAGCATCCATGGAACCTTTCCATTGTACAAAAGGTTTGTACAGGAAAAAAAATCAATCTTCAGAAGGTCTTCAGATTATTAAAATGTTCTTCACACTAAGAAATCTTTTTTTTTTTTCACTGAATCATTCTTAGGGGAACCCCAAATGTTTTTTTCCATGGCATTGCTGTGAAACCCCCCTTTCAAACCTTTATTTTTAGGAGTGTAATATAAAAGGGTTTTCAACTGAGGAGAGGGTCTGAAAAACTTCAATATGCAAATGCGAAAATTGCAAACAAATTTTTAAGTCACGTTACTGCCTGTGTGACAGCTAGCCCCATTCCAAAGATTGGTACATCAGAAACAAATGAAAATGTATTGACTTTAAATACATTTTATTAAAATGAGCCAGTCTTCTAGGCTTGTTATCCTCTAGTGTTGGTGTTTGTGCCACCACTAATACAAAAGTCTTTCCTCACAGGAAACGGACTGGGCATCCGTGTGGTTGGAGGAAAAGCGGTCCCGGGAAGCAATGGGGACATCGGTGCGTATGTTGCCAAAGTGTTACCAGGAGGAGCTGCAGAACAGACGGGGAAGATTGTGGAAGGTAGGCACATTTACTGCTTTAAGACCTGTTTCTGAGTGGGTTCACTAGTTTGGTTAAGCTGAAGAGGTGTATCAGTGTTCACTGTCACTTAGATCAGGGAGAGAAACACATGTGTTGACGTTAAAGGGCACAAAGTGACGCGATAGGAGACAAATGATGCTAATCTGCACGGTTCTTCGCCTCCAAGCTCCGGGAATGACTCATTCTTGATGTGAGAGATAAAGATAGAAAAGAAGAAAATGAAGTTGAAGTTTCAGGTTCATGACTGTGTTTCCTCTGCGGTGTATACCGGCGGCGTAGGTGTTGTGCAGATCACATCAAATGAGAGTTGAATGTTAAATTTATACATCAAAACTTTGACTGAGATGTCTCTGGAGATTTCAACTGAAACAAGTTTGAGGTTTTACTGGTTTAACACTTTACAATGTGTTTTTACAACGCAGTTATGTAAATGTGCACTTTCCACAGTCAGAATTGACCTCATTGTGACAGATTTGCCCAATGATTGCTGAAGGCTAGAGTTTCTCGTTGACTTGGAAGAATCCTCACAGACTTTTGGAATAAAACCCTATTATGACTGCTTTGGACTATTTCAGCCAATTTGACGGAGCTGAATTTTACAAGCTCTATTGATCTCAGTTGTGACTGAGACGTTAATACTTCCTCTTTCTCCAGGGATGAGGGTGAGCACGGAACATTGTAAATTAGGCCTGCTTGGGCTCCGGCTTTTGTGCAGCTTTCTCGCGGTCATAATTTACGAGGGGCCAGAATAGGTGGCGAGGGGGAAAGTGAAGCCGGAGGGAGTGGATCTGTCTGTGCACAGGCTTATTTATGAGGCTATATACAACAGCTGGGCCTTGTGAAAGAACATTCTGAGCTTTGACTGGGACTGACACTTCACATCTGTCTTCTTCCTCCTCCTCCTTCTCTCACACTCTATCAAATATAACTTTGTATTTAGACATCTGATTCCTTAGCTGTGACCTCTTCTTGTATCTACTCTCTCTTTCTCCCATCTCACCTTTTCTCTTTAAGCTTGTCTTTTCTCATCTCTTTTGATCTTGTCTTCTCATATCTAGTCTTATCTCATCAAATTTAGCTTCTTCTAGTATCATTATTTCTTCTTGTCTCTACTCTCATCTTCTCTATGCTTTTTTGTCTCATCTCAGCTCAGCTTACTTTTTCTCTTCTCATTTCAACTCTCGTTTCATTTAGTCTGATCTTCTTTATTCCCGAATCTACTCTTTTATTCCATCTTATCATGGCTCTACTCGTTTTTTTCATCGAACATTTTCTCTTCTCATCTTGTCTTTTCTCATCGCTTCGTTTGTCATAGTCTCATCTTGTTTTGCCTCGTCTCATCTCGTCTTTTCCTCTCTTGTCGTAATTGTATCGTATTGTCTCTTTCCCACATGATGACCCACTAGCAGATGAAGCTTCATAAGGGAGAAATGTCAAATGTTTCTACTTGGCGTAAATGTGATTATGAATGCGGTCGGCATGGTTACAAAAGCAGTGTGAAAGCACATGTAGTAACACCAATATAACATGCTGGTGTTAAGCTGTGCAGTATCTGTGCAGTCTGCTGTTCAGCCTCTCACATTTAAGTATACAATCTGAGTGTGTACATATACAGTACATGACATGATCGAGCACACATTCACCTCCAGGGACCCCAAGCATTCACCGTAAAGTGGGAACTTCAAAACGCCCTAAGAGGGCATACCTGGCCTACCTGAAGACACGCTTTCATCTGTGTAAGTGCACCAACAGAGTGGTTTCAGTTTGCTGTGACTTGGAGTGAACTCTGTTGCATGTGTTCCCCTCCTTTCTCACAGGGTTTTCTGCAGCACGGTTAATTTAATTGAAATAGATCACGTGTGCCATTGCAGTGCTGTTTGCAGCGTATTAGATCTCTCAGATGTATCCAGTGGCTGATTTTGTGTGTGTGTTTTCATAGGAATGCAAGTTCTGGAGTGGAACAGCGTTTGCTTGACTGGTAAGACGTACGAGGAAGTGCAGGGTCTGGTTGGTCACCAGGTTGGAGAGGCGGAGTTATGTATCAGACTGTGAGTGTCAGATTTGCATAGCTACTAATTATTTAAAATTTTATTTAGCTAATTTTTACTTTTACTATCTAATAATAAATATTGTTATACTAATTATATTAATAATTGTACACATTTTAGTATTTAAAATACCCTGTGAGGAAAGTTTAGTAAAGTAAACCTTAGGTAAGTTAGTTTAAGTAGTTAAAATATTATTGAAGTGGGGATAGGACAAGAAAAGTTATTCTAACTTCTTCCTACCCCCTTTGAACATGATTGTTGTTTGGACCATCTGTAGATGATCTTTTCTTTCTTGATGTTGATGATTAACTATTTATTTTTACTTTTTATTCAGTTTTTGCTGTTGTGTTTTTTTTTTTTTTTTTTTAACATGTTCAATAAAGAGAATAATAATAATAATAATAATAATAGTATTAGTACAATAATTGGAAAAATTATTAGTATTGAAGTTATTGTCATTGTTATAAGTCAACATGAAACACATTTCTTAACCCATTTCTGTATTCTGACATATTTCAGAGTGAAACATGATATTTAAGAAGAAGTTAAGAAGACATTAATTGTATAAAAAATGTGGTTATATATCAGAATGGAGTCTGATGGTTTGAGGGAACAGGGTTGAAAAACTTGAAAAAGTACATCGCTTTTCAAAGGAACATTAAGGCCAGGAACGTACATTAAGCGAGCAAATGGGGTACATTTTGATCCCATGCTGGCTTAACTGAACTTTTTGTCCTTTGACCACAATTTATCTCTTTGTCATTTTCAGAGACCTAAATATGCTGTCTGATTCTGAAAGCTCCCACCTAGACCTCCAAGACCAGAACAAAGGTGAGAACCATCTGTCAGTGGAGAAGACAATCAAATGATAATGTCCTAATTAAGCTCAAAGACACTTGACCACTAACTTGCACTTATAAATATTCAGGAGACAGACCTCCGCGGTCACCAGGTGTAGACCCTAAGCAGTTGGCTGCGGAGCTGCAGAAAGTGTCCCAGCAGCAGCTCCCCTCCTCCTCTGCGTCAACACTGGATAAAGCCTCAGCGTCCGCTGGCTCCAGTGCAGTTCCCAGCCCTGGCCAGCCTGGTTCACCCTCTGTCAGCAAGAAACGCCACAGCAAGGTATGTGTATGCCATGGACACACTCTATTATTTTGTGTACAAAGAGTCAAATGCAAAACAATGTCTTTTTTTACTGCTGATGTTTTGTTTCTTAGACCTCTGAGGCAGCAAAAACTCAGTCCCACCCAGTGTCAGGAGAGATCCAGGTAGATTTCCACTCTCATTAACTCAGCTATAGCTAATTGCGACTTACAAATTTCCATAGTCAGTATGAACTTTTATAATTATGCTCTAAAATATTTTATCAGCTAGAAATTGCTCTTTATAAGTGCAATCTCTATAAAAAGATAGCAAACTGGCAAAATCGTGTGAATCGTGTCAAAACCCTGCTTAATAATGAACAAATTGTATTTATGCCATATCCATTCACCTTTTCAGTAGTAGAAAGTAGAACAACCATTTCTTTCTTGCTTCAATTTTGCAGCTTCAAATAAATTATGACAAACAGCTGGGAAATCTCATCGTCCATGTTCTTCAAGCTCGAAATCTGGCACCCCGGGACAATAACGGCTACTCGGATCCATTCGTTAAAGTTTACTTGCTGCCGGGTAGAGGGTAAGTAGCTTGTAAAACTCAACTAACTGGAACTGAGTTGTCTCATGGATTCAGCCTCAGTGTGAACCATTAGGCGCTGATCACGTGAGTGCTCGGGGCCTCGAAATGGTAGAGCACCTAAGAAAAAACACAAGATTACATATAAATATAAATAAATGCTCAGTTTATATTAAAAAATTAAAAAAATTGAGATTCGAGAAGCTCTCTGATTGGTGGATCTCACATCGGGTCGTAAAACACACAATTCCATCGTTATATTTAGCCTTGCAACATAACAACCTGACACAAAAGCTTGTGCTTTCTGTTTGTTTTTTGCACAATGATAAATTGCATTTGAATTAATTTACTCTATAATCACCAGCAGTGATTGCTAATGAGCGTACCTGCTCAAAATGTGTCATGCATGCACACTTTCCAATCTCTACGTGCTCTTTCTCTAGAATTATCTCCTGTCCTTTGATTTAATGATGCCAGAAGAGTTCAACGATCAGACTTCTAAGACTGAATTTTGAAATATTTTAAATTGTAAATTAAAAAAGAAATGAAGGATCCATCTTTGTATGTTGAATAATTCCATGTACAAATTCAGTTCTCTAGTTATTTATTTTGTTATTTAATAGTCATTTGAGTTAAGTGCTTATTGTAAAATCAAATGGCATTTATTCAATTATTTTATTTAGTGAACCGCTACTGATCATCATGTACGTATATCAGCAAGACAACACTCATTGAAAGGATAAGTGTTTTTGTTTGGTTGGTAATGTATTTGCAGTCCATTTGTTTCGAGACATGAATGGCTTTTGTGTAACAAATTCATTAAGCGCAACTTTTAATGGAGAAAAAGACAGTAGCTACTCCTAAAAAAACTAACACACAACTGTAGTTTGTCACTTTACATGTCATTCAGTCTGCCTGCCTAAATAGCTACAGAATGTGAGACTAAAGAAAGTGTTCATTTAATATCTGGATTCTTGACATAAACACGATAAATCCACCTGTTTCACCCTTGGCACTGGAAATTAAGACTCTCAGAGCTGTTATTCAATCCTAGCTGCTACTTTCAGAGTTAACGAAACAGAAAATCACTTATCCATCTGTAATTAGCACCAGGTCCATGGGAAAGCCCTGGAAAGGATTATGCATATTCTGTAAGCCCTAGTTTTTAGCTGTTTTAAAAAAGAAAATTAAGCTGTGTGTGTGTGCGGGCGGGCGTAGTGCATGTGTTTGTGTTTGTCAACACATTTATGAATGCAGTAAGTGACTCAGCAAAAGAGGAAAATCAATGACAACTCAATTTGGGTGTAAAATGATAGCGCTGATTGATGTTTGTAGGTTGGTGCGTGTGTGTGCATCGGATCATTTCTGGCTCTCATCTGATCATGCAGTACTTGGATTGAACCTACAGAAACAGGAGCTCTCCGTTTCTCTGCTCCATATGGGCATGAATGCATGAGCTACTACAAAAACAAACAAACACACACACACTTTTGTAATCTCCCACTCATCACTGATTGTTGTCTGTTTTTGCTGCATGCTGGATCTTCACAGTCAGGTCATGGTTGTGCAGAATGCCAGGTATGTGATTCTTTCCTACAGCACATTATACAAGACTTGGCCATGCTTGGACATGAATGGCTTAATGACGTAGGGTTTTGCTGTTTTTACATTTTTATCATTGTTGCTCATTTGATCATTTTCTCAATGTAGTATGTGGTCAAAGCTGCAACACAAGTTGACCTATACTAGATGTCCTCCATTGTGCAAACCATTTACCACCAGTGTGGGTTGTTTCACGTTTCGGTCTCTGATGGTTTGTGCCACACTGATCTAACTGTACCTCATTGTGACCCCTTGTGGTATGTTGTCTAATTGTAGTGCTGAAAACAAAAGAAGGTCCAAACACGTTCAGAAGACTTTGAACCCAGAGTGGAACCAGACTGTCATCTACAAAAATATCCACCTGGAACAGGTGAACTACAAACTCGTTTGCATTTGCATACATCTTGGTTGCATTTCAGTTGTCTGAAAAACCAAAAGGAAAATATAATTTTACTTCAATGGAATATGCCATGTCAGTTTTGAGGTTTCAATTATGAAAGCTCTTCAGAGAGAATCTCAGGCTTTAGGTGCAAACAGCGAAAAGTCTGTTGTCTCCCAGAAGTACTTTAGTCTAATTAAGGCCAAAGAGCTTCTTGAGTTTGTTGAGCTCTCTGAGGCAGCTGCTGACAGATGTGATTGATATGTTTTTACTGGACTATTGAAGCAAGGCAAACAGCTCTTAATTGAGAGAGAAAGGAAGAATGTAGAAGTGAGGCTTGTCTTGAAAACCATCTGGATTAAATGCTGTAGTGCTGCATATCGTGTTTGATGTGTTGGCTGGTTTAACAGAAAAGAGATGTTTTATTAATCAGTATTTTTGTCTTGCTTTCCAGTAAAAATATCTAAAAACAAAATACATTTACTTCAGAAGCAATGTTCAGTTTATTTTTCTGAACAAACTGACTTTATTTGTATGAAATGTGGATAAATCCATACCTAAAGCAAGGGAATATGTTATGAATTTTAAATATTTTAATTTATAATGCAAAAGATAGAGGTCTGCAAGATTTTTCTATCTTTTTGAAAGAAGTTTCTTATGCTGACCAAGGCTGCATTTATCTAATCAAAAATACAGTACATTTTTTTGTAAGATTATAAATGTCTTTACTGTCACATTTGATCAATTTAATAATCCTTGCTGATTAAAAGTATCAATTTATTTAAAAAAGAAAAATCGTATTGACCCCACGTTAAAATTAAATATTGGTGTATCTTGTTTTTACTGGAAAACAAGGCAAAACACTAATGTAGATAATATATTTGGAGTGTTTATGAGGTGTTTCCTTTCCCTAATCTAGAGTTCAATGGAAAATAAATAATAAGTTACAGAGTTCCATAGAATGACAACATTAAAGTAATGTATAATGATAGAGTCACAAAATAAATCATCTTGGCACTGAATCGGCTCAATCTAATCTTCTACTCTGTGTTTATGTGGTGTGTGTTTAGCTAAGAAAGAAGACACTGGAGGTCAGTGTGTGGGACTACGACAAGAGCTCTGCCAATGACTTCCTGGGAGAGGTGATGAGCTACAAGTTCTTTAAACACACTTAGAAAAATTAAACACCAGGTTCAGTGTGTCTAAACGCTACATAACTATATATATATATATATATATATATATATATATATATATATGAAGAGTTCAGACGCAAAAGCCTTTAAGTGCCATTTGAAATTTTCTTCTAAAATGAACATTTTTAGCAAGCTTGTATATTTAAGTTCAGTAATTTCACTTAAATGACAACGAAGATTACCTATGAATTGCCATTTAAGTGAAATTACTGAACTTAAATATACAAGCTTGATAAAAATGATCATTCTAGAAGAAAATTTCAAATGGCACTTAGAGGCTTTTGCATCTGAACTCTTCATATATACTGCTCAAAAAATAAAGGGAACACTAAAATAACACATCATATATCTGAATGAATGAAATAATCTTATTAAATACTTTTTTCTTTAAATTGTTGTTTAAGTGTTCCCTCTTATTTTTTTTGAGCAGTGTATATATATATATATATATATATATATATATATACTGTTAGAAATACTGTAGATTCAGGTATCTGAACTTTAAAAAAAATGTTTCAGGTGTAAAGATCTGGTGCAAAAAATAAATAAATAATGAAATTATGCATGTATGGGGCTAGGTACTAATCGACCTGTCCAATACGGCTCAACTGGACAACGTCCCACGCTGGCTGCCTCTAAAGGAGCAGTGCGAGGGCGAGCATCACCGGCGTTCTCACTCGGGACAGGGCCGCCAGCACTCACCCAAACCCCACGGAGGACACGGGACCCAGCATTCCCCAAAAACCTCCGGCCACAGCAAGGAGGACTCGCCTAAATCCTCGGTCATCAAAAGCCGTAGTCACGGAATATTCCCTGACCCTGCCAAGGGTAGGACCGCAAGTCGCATGCCACTTCTGCCACTTCACATTTTCAGTCGTGATGTCTTTTCCATTCTTCTATTGCTGTCACTTCTATACATGCTGTCTTCTCTTCCTCTCTCTGTATTGTTCTTGCTCTCACTTGATCTTTCCATACTGTATTTCTCGAGCTTCCTAGCTTTGCCTTCTTGCTCTCCATATATGTGTGTTCAGTTCACAACGGCGCTGAGCTCACCAGCGCTTCACTCCAGCCACCTCACGCAGGGTGTGACAGGGCCACTCAGACAGGAAGCAGCCTGCTTAGATGCTAACTAGGGCACAATAGTTGGACTTTAAGTATCACAGAAGTAACCTAACAGAATAATAATTGTAGTTAAATAAGAATAAATATATATTATTATATTATATATTTTTTAAATAAATATTACTTAAAAAATGGGTTTTTGGAGCATTTAAATGAATAAATAGGCAAAAGTAGGGAATGAAATGGTAATTTGGTTCTGGTTGTTTTAGACACGCAGGTTCCCACTATTGAGAAATCTCACAGTAGCCCCAGCACGTCGAAGCCGTCCCTCTCTGAGGGCCAATCCCGCCCCCACGGAGGCCCTCGTGCTCATGGCAAAAGTGGCACGGCCCGGGCACACCTTGACGATGCCTCATCAACGGCCGAAGCTGGCCAGCAGCCCCGTCTCCAACCAAGTAAACGACGCAAATAAAACCTCCACAGCATGGCTGCCTTCGCTCTCATCTGTTCCTCCTCCTGTTCTTATTTCACTGCCCTCTTTTGGGTTTTTTTTCTTCCCGTTGTTGTTTTCTGGTTTCTCACACTTTTATTTTTTTGGTCCCCTTGTGGTCACAGTCTGTCACTTCACTTCCTTGCCTGTGTTCTCACCAGTGTGTTGAGAACATGTCACGTTGCACACACACATATATAGGAACAGTATTATTCTGTTCTATTCTGTATATAAAGGTATATCAGTATATGATAGCTTGAAGTAACAGAGCTAAACTATAAACCATCTATTGGTAAATATAAGTGAAAAAAAATTTTTTTTATAGCATCCTTAAAATGGATGCTTTAAACCTTGAAAGTGTTCCTGCAGTACAAGGTCATGTTTGATTGCCAGGAAACACAATATGCATTTTCATAAAATAATGTAGAGTCCAGCTTCCAGATTACAAAGACCTGTCAATCACTGTGAGGAGATCTGACTGCACACGTCAGGCACCTAGTCATGCAGACTTGTCCATTTACCCCACAGGGACATGCTAGAACCTTGCTTCTGAGGTTATATTAGGCAAAACTGGCATAACTTACCACTTTATTAAAGTTAGAGAGCAAATAATCGTCCCTGATCAACACACAGCACCATGTTTTGCCCACTTCACGGCAGCCCAACAACCTTTCTTTTAACTCCTCTTTTATTTTTCCCATTGAGTTGTTTTCTGTCCCAGACAGCCGGCTTTTCAGCAGCTACCCCAGTCCACCAAGATGGCCGTGCATGTGGCCGCCCGCTCTTTAAAGCACCATCCCACCCTGCCTCCACTCTCTCTGCGTCTCTCGCTGGCCTACACTGCACCTCAGTCGACGCTGTAAGCCCGAGCCGGGCCGTGCGCACTGTGGCTGCATGTGACTATGACCTACAGTAAAAGCTGGTGGTGTCCATGTTGTGACGAGTTCATACTCTGAGTCTCCATCTCGCCCCCCTTCTCCCCTCTTCAAACCTCCCCTCCTTCTTGCCCCCCACCCCGTGGCTGATATATGGCCCCAGCCCAAAATGGCCGCCTCGACCCGAGGCACCACCGGCACAGCGTAGTTGGTGTGCTCACCATTCAGAGAGCCCCGTCCGAGTCGCCGGCCAATGAGATCCCTGAAGGCCGACGCCTGACCCTCAGGAAAGCCATGTCTGAAGAGAGGCCACAGCCGGACGGAGGTGAGAGTTGTCTCGTTTGATTGCCAATAACAGCAAGAGAGAGAGCGAGAGGATGTTGAGTTACTAACGCACATCTAACTAGAGAAACTAGCTGAGGACACTGAAAATTGTAAAGGGCGTAGCCTATTTGCGCCCAAACAAAAGGCACTGCGGGAAGGAAACGCTATCCGAAGGGTCGTTCCGAACGAAAGTGAGCAACTACACTGTTACAGAAGATTTGCAGTTTATGATAATGTGAACCTTGGTGGCGAATCTTCACGATTTTTTTTTCAAACCCTCAGTTGCTCTCAGACACCCCAGTACTAAATATTTATTTACATGTTAAGTAGAAGTTTTACAACACACAAGTTGAATTAAAAATACACAAAGCAACAATATTTGTGGTTTTATCAGCAATCTTAACAGACATTAGCATTTTTGATCAAGTTAAACCCCTATTCACACCAAGATGGAATGCTACGTTCAATAAACATTAGCTAATTCATCTGGTCAGATCGACAAGAACATTTTTATGTAACAGAACATTCTGATCCCTTTTCATTTGCACTTTGAAGAAAATTGAGCTTGGAGATCCTGCTGTAAATAACAGTGGAATAGCATGTAACTGCTGTTTGACTTGTTTCTTCTCTGTGACAAATGGGTGTCAGAAATGAAAAGTTGCAAATAAAAAGACAAACAAAAGAATTTTAAAGGTGCTCTAAGTGATGTTGGGTGACGTCACTGCTTGCTAAAACGAAACGGAGGGGGGGGCTAAACGTAACGAAAAGGAGAAAACGAAAAGGAGACTAGACCCTTCCTCCTCCTCATCCGTGCACTAACCCCCCCCAAACCCCACCCCCAAATCCTTCTTGTCGATTATTGGCTGGAACACTGTTTGTTACAGGGGACAGGCACCTAGCGGATAGTGTGGAGTTGTTTGCTGTATTTGACAAAAATTGTTTTGACCTAAAAAGCGTGTGACATTGCTTAGAGCACCTTTAATAGAAAAGCTTTTCCATAAGCGCCATCTACTGCCAGAGAGTGAAATTTCACAAACCAGGTTTGCCAGTTCTGTGCAAAAAAAGTAGCCCAATGGCCAGTCAAAATATTACAAAAATTGCCCGATGTGATTTTCTATCGGGCGGCCGAATTCTCCACTGAATATGTACATCTAGGGGGAGTTTTGGAAGTGTTCGAACACTAAAATCATACGAACGGGGGTGGAAATCAACCCATAGAAAAAAATGTACCTACAAGAACTTAAAAGTAGCCCAATTCTGTGGGAAAACCCACGGACTTGGCAACACTGGTCTGAACAGACAAATCGCATGTGAAAATCTGACCTGTTGGTGTGAACAGGCTTTAACTTTGAGTAGAGTAGCAGTGTCGCATATTGCTCAAAACATTCAAAGTGCTTAGTTTTTCAGAGTGAGTAGGGCCTAGTTATGCTCACTTCCGACTGGAATTCGCCCTGTGCCACTTCACAGGAAATTCATGCAGCGAGTCTCAGTCTCATTCAACAGTCCAGCAACGTGCTTCCCTAAAACCAGGGGACAAAACAGTAGCGTTCGAATGTGATAGAAAACTCTTGAAAGGAGCACTGACCCCCTGACCATCCCAAAAGAATCTCGTAAGATGCCTAGTGTTAGCGTTAACGTTGCTGAATCTGTTTGAAAAAGACTGTGTGCATGAATTGCGTGCCAAAATCATGCATCCCACGTCACACCATCGCCATCACTCTCAGTCAAACACTCTGAAATGCAACAACAGTAAATAAATGGATGTATCTATTAAAATAAACGTAGCATAACGCTAACAGAATTAGCATAATGTAATTACTCAGGCAAAATACTCAATGTGCAAAACTCAAACACACAGTTTACTAATAAACAGTTTAATTTGTTCTGTCTGTGCTTTTGCTTCTGTCATCTGATGTCTGCTTAGCATATCTGTGTCTGTGATATTTCCTTTCATTTATGGAGTGCTGTCATGCTTTTTTTAAATGTTGCCAGCAGTGCCAGTATATATTTGTGTGTGTATGTCGTGTGTGTGTATGTGTTGGGAGTGGATATGTGGACATGTACCCCATAACTGATAGTTGCCAGTCGTAAGTAGTGTACTTGTGCAACTCACATAGTCCACTTCAAAAACAGCGTCCCGCAGCCATAGATCTGGTGATGCTCCTGTTACTGCAGCCTCATTGGACAGCGGTCTGAGTGGCAGTGCCTTTAGCCTATTGGATGAAGAGGGCGGGACCAATGCGGTGGATAGCGCTATCTTCCAGGTTCCTAGATTGTGAGTGCTTTTCTGTATACATGATATGATATAATATATACATTTTAATATAATTATTTTTTTTTTTAAATCTTGGCACTCCATGAGTATTATGACCTGATGTTGTTTATTATTTAGTGGAAAGATTCCAAATGGCACAGAAGCTGGAAATTCTGCTCATGGAGATACAGAGGGTAATGTTTACATGGGATGTTGTGTGTTTTGAGTTTGTGTCAATAGCAGTGTATTTAAGCCTATAATTACTGCAGCAAAGACATTGAATTTCTTCTATATTATATATAATAATAATATGTAAAATATATTGTTTTAAATCATATTATATTATAGTTTTATGTAAACAAGGGTCTTACATTTTTTTTCTGTTTTATCTGTTTTCTATTATATTAAAATGTAGTTTATTACTGTGATGAGAACTTTTTAAATGAAATATTTTGTAACATTATACATGCTTTACTGACACTATTGATCAATTTATATTATTATTTTATCTATGCCTTATCTAAAGCTTAATCTATTCCCTGTGCCGTGTTATTTATGCTCCTTATGCGGGTCAGAGATTAAGGAAAAGATACAGAGATAAGAAATGGGGGAAAAGAACTGAGATATTGACGTGTGTCTGTGTATGTGTGCGCTTAGGTAAGACTCAGGTGATGGGGGAAATAAAGATCGCCCTGAAGAAGGAGATGAAGACAGAGGGAGAACACCTGGTGCTTGAGATCCTTCAGTGCAGAAACATCACCTACAAATTTAAGTCTCCCGACCACCTCCCGGGTAACAAGACACATGACAGCAAACACGTTCACTCACGCTTATTATTACATTAGTCTGTTTGATGTACAGTTTATAAACACATTTCTTCATTGATATAAACTTGAAATAAACTAAACTTGGCTTTAGTTTACACCATAGCCCGGCAAAAACTAGATTTGCTACTTGCTATTGCGTATCGATGGCAGGTAGTATTAGGGGGAGGGACTGACTAACCTTAGCAAGCATTTGATTATGTCATAAGTATGTTTAGCCCATTTTCCCTGTGCATATTTACATCATTTTTTTTTTGGGGGGGGAATATACTAGCATGATGCTACATAATAGCATTAGCTTCATAGCTAACAGGCAGGAATTTAATTTCCGTCAGAATTAACCCAATTTCTGAAGTTTTGAGTAAATTGTGGATGCAGATTTTAATGCAGTCCTACAGGCATTTGTTAAATTGCTTGATTATACAGTACAATTACCTGTTTCTTATATTTTGGGTTGAAAATGTTTGAACTTATCCTTTACGTTCTAAAGGACAGCTTCCCAGGGATGTCACAGCTAGATGTCACATTACCACTTTATAATAAAGAAATAAGCATTCATAGCTGTAATGAAAGCTCAGTTCTTACTGTTGATGTTCTTTTCCAGACATGTATGTGAAACTCTATGTGGTGAATGTGGCCACTCAGAAAAGAATCATCAAAAAGAAGACCAGAGTGTGTCGTCATGATCGCGAACCGTCTTTCAACGAAACTTTCCGCTTCTGCATGAACCCCACAGGTCACTCCATTCAGGTACGGCATCGATGCACCCCGTGCACATTGATCCAACTTAAAGTAGTGATTGATATTTATTCCCATCCTTGCAGCTTTTTCTTGTTTCGAACGGAGGCAAGTTTGTAAAGAAGACCCTAATTGGCGAAGCCTACGTGTGGCTGGATAAGGTAGACCTGCGGAAACGGGTGGTGAGCTGGCACAAGCTGCTGGCCAGCACAGCTCAGATACACTCCTAAAGACGGCGGTCAGATGAGGCGCGATGACAGAACAGGCAGTGGAGTCGCACATCTCTGCCGCACTCTTTGGGACTAAACTGAGCTGAATTTGGAGGGCCTACACACAGGGAGCTTCCTGATTGCACTGGCACGTGTGATTGTGTTAACCCAAGCCAAGGAGAAACAGGTGTATAATGGTGTTTACAGGAAAGATCTGACCTTTAGTGACAAGATGCAGATCTCTACGTTGGGAAAAATTGAAAGCAGGAAATTGACACAATGTTCTTACGTGTATGGGTACATGCACTTTCACAATCACTCACACATATTTATACTGGTGTATGTATAATGATATGTGTATACATTGCATTGGTCCACAACAGACAGTTAGATGATAGAGTGGAAATTTCCAGTAACTTGTAACCTTCCCGTTTGTGCATTATTCATATGAGAACATTATGATTATTTACAGATAGATATCATATACATTATTTTTGTATGATAGAGACAAATTCAGTTTAGATATATTTATCGTTATTTTACATTCCCTCCCAGATGTTATATTGTGTTGAAAGAACTGATATTTAAAGCATATTATCGATGGATTAGAAGAGTATTTTATGGTATATTATAGACAGAATGAAATTAACGAAATAGGATTTATTGGGTGTTGTGATGACTCGTTGTGTCAGTACGGTTATTTCCACTCACAGAAGTAACACTTTTCTCTTTCGCTGTGCGATACTGAATTCAGTATACAGTTTCAGAGCCCTAAGACTCTATGGATAAAAAAAGTGGATCATAACAAAGAATTTTAAATGTTTAAGAAAACTGCCGTCTCTTGTGACTCACACGGAAATTAATAGAAAGTGTTTGCTGATTTTTATGATTTGCTCATTTGATGAATGTTTCAAGATGAAATATCACCAATATGCAGCAGCGTCAGTTGAAAATGTCAAATCCAGCACTGTTATATGATTTGCACTTTGTGTCTAGCATTTTACGAATGTAGGTTGATAGTTTTAGTTTTCGTCAAAAAAGCGGAACATCCTGCCATTTACAACAGTCAAACACTGTCAACCCCCCACACAAACACGTGCGCACCGGTCTCTCGGAGGATTAGAGTTTGAATGGGTCGATGTAGTGTCTGTCCAGATGTTGAAGTCATCATATTGCTGATATAATGTTTTATTTAAAAGGTTTTTTGTTTTTTTTACTCCTAAACACTCAGGTTTCAATAAAAAAGCCTTGCTTAGATGTTATTGGTTCACCTTAAGGCGATAACAATGAGGATCGGGGTGATGACTTCACAACGTTTTCATTTTTAATTTTACTGATCATTTTGGCTAACTGCAATTATCTTCACGGTTTACATCTATAAGGAGACATTGAGATACTAAGCGCACCATCTCGTACTTTCAGAAAATTGTGGCCACTTCGCAATGCAGACACTTAAATCAAATGCCATTAGTGTTATTTATATGTTTTTTTTTTATGTTTTTATGCCTTGAAACTTAGGATATGTGGATACAACCTTTACAACACATAAGGTCGAGCACTATATTTCACTCAAACGTCCAGCGTTAAGGGTTAAGTCGACCTTTAACCTGTGCCAAACTACCAAAATCCGCAGGTTCTGTGTATGTTACTCTATGCAACCAAAAATGCATCTGGTGTACTTATTGTTTATTGGTCGGAGGACAGATAAAGCATTACGAATGAGGACTTTTTTATTTTTGTATGTTTTTTTTTTCTCACATGGTAAAGTTTGTTTCTATATAATAATAATATATTGATTGTGTCTTTTGCTTGATGCTTGTTTTATTAATTTTTTAATGCTATTTTGAGGTCATGTAACAATGAGTTTGCAAAAACGTAGGTTAGTTATCCTACTCAACTATTTAAATGCTAGTTATGTACATAACGAAATGTGTGTTTACAAGATCATAGCAGACTGGTTCGTCATTCTGGTCCTTTCAAACACAGTGTCTGGAAACACAACTATCTCACTCACTCAGCATATATACAATGCGCTTTGATTATATATTCTGATCTCCCAAAATGTGTGTGTGTGGTTTTTTTTTTATGTATATGTTTACAAATTAGATGAGGAAAAAGGCATCATATAACATATTGTCACATGAATTCATGCAGCCTCTTTTGAATAATTTGTGCATGCCACACTAACTCTTTCACCTCTGCAAAACAAAGAAATATAAAAAAAGAAGCCATGTAAATAAAAATAATAATTTTCTTTTTTGTACAAATATGATCTTGTATTAGTTTTCTGGTTCAACGAAGAGCATGTGTGAGGGAAAGGAGCAGAGCGATTGTGTTTTGATCTGTGTGTTACATGTTGTACATGCACTAGGGTAAAGCTTTCCCCATGCTTGCCTCTGATGGACTGGACTTGACCTGCACAACAGACACCAGTTTAACCCTGTATTATAAAGAACAGATGTTGACCTTACTGACTCAAAAGTAGAATCAGGAAACGTATGGTGTTTTCACTTTGGATGTTGCATGTTTTGTTGGTGGTTTGTTCATACTATTTTTGTGTCCAGATTCTATTTACAAAAAGAGAAAAAGATTATGAAAAATTAATCAAATCTAAATATGTATGCTGACTGTACAAAGATATGCTTGTATAATCCGTCTGGTTTTCCACTTAATGTAAACTGATGAAAAAAAATCAAACTGTCATGGTTTTTGTGGTTGTACACAAACGGTATTGATAAATTATGCAAATTGTGCTGTAATAAAAGGCTAATGCCCCAAGTCAAAATATTAAATAATATATGTACAAATTTCCCTGGAGGTGAATTCATTTGTAAGCCACTTTCACACCTTTTATCTTTCGATCACATCTATCTGTCTTTCTGTCTCAATCTGTCTGTCTGTCTGTCTGTCTAGCCATCACAACGCTTTGCTATTGTACTTTATTTTTTTCGTGTTTCATGAGATTTCTTCGAATATTGTATATTGCAAAGAAGATAACAAACATACACACTAATAAAGGGACTTTTATTTTGAAGATAATGTTCGTCTCGTCGTCACATTTTAGCCGACTTGTTTTATCCGTCTCTGTTATCATTTCACCATTAGGCTAATGCATGACTGTTGTGTGTACTTTTAACCTTTAAAATAGTCGGTTTAATAGGATTTTACTGAGCCAAATGGATGAAGAAAGCACAAAACACTTAATCAAAGCAATTCAACATGGAGAGCTGTGCACAGTTAAACAGCAACTCAATGAGCACGTAAACAAGCAGTCTGTCACCTGTACTCATTATGGAAAATCTGGAGACACTTTACTGCACTATGCTGCCAGACATGGACACATGGACATTTTGCGATATTTAGTAGAGGAGCTCAGCATGGACATTGATGTGTACAACAGCGACTACAAGAGAGCTTTGCATGAGGCTTCTTCCATGGGTCATTGTGAGTGTGTGCGGTATCTCATTGCCAGGGGAGCGAAAATAGACAGCTTGAAGAAAGCAGACTGGTATGTCAAAAAATTGTTCGATTTGTATGTAAGAGTGAATGTAATCTGCGATCGGGGACCAACGTAGTTTTCAACGCCTTCGATAGCTCAGTTGGTAGAGCGGAGGACTGTAGAGGTTTGCTGCCATCCTTAGGTCGCTGGTTCGAATCCGGCTCGAAGGAAATGTTTTTATCCTGGTAAGTCCCGCCCATCCGTAAAACTCCAAGTGGACCTCTTGGTTGAAAAAGCGTCAATGCAAGTGAATGAGAGAAAATAATTATTTTGATGCCGTTTGTGATCCCGTTTGAATTGTGCCATGAACATGTAACATATGTTGTGTTGTGTGTATGTTTTTATATAATTTTTCGTGTAAATAATGCTACAATTTACCGCGTAGAATTTTCATACGGTTAGACTTTGTGTGAGAGCACTTTGTGGACTACAACTCTTTCGACGTGTTTAATATACATCACCCCCACTAGCACACGGATCCCGCTAAACATACCGTGTCTTTGGTGCACTTCACTGCCTTCTTTCAGGGAGAGAACAAACTAGTTGAGCGTGGTGAAAACCGTGTTTTGTGGAGGGAAAATGTGTTATGCGGCGACGTCACATATGCGACGTGTAGTCTTTCTCGTTAATTCACAGACAACATATGTTCACATTCATTGCAAAATTCAAACGGGATTAGAAAATATATATATTTTTTCTCTCATTCACTTGCATTGAGGATTTTCCAACCTAGAGGTCCAGCGGGGTTAGCTGAAGGGGCGGGACTTACCAGCTCTATATACATTTATGTACTGTAACAATACCGTTGCTGTTATTAAGGAAAGTGCAATTTTATATTAAAAATATCGTTAAAAATTATAATAACTGTTTTACAAATATGCATATTATTTATTGATGTGAAGTCTATTTTTGAGTGATTATTTGCATACTCTTTACATGTACATCATTATTATTTTAGTATTATTTATATACTGTTATAGAATTTATTTATATTTTGCTTTTAGTTATATATTTTCAGTTTCTCATTTTTCATTTTCGCAGAAGTTTGTATCTAATATGTATAATTTGTTTTATTTCAGCTTAATTTCAACTAACTTTTTTAAAAATTTTAGTTAACAATAACAACACTGCTCTTTGTTCTTATTAAGCTTTGCTGAGTTTGAACAAAACTGACTTTTAACCTCTCTAGGACCCCTCTTATGATGGCCTGTACCCGACGAAACCTTGAGGTCGTCCTGGAGCTGCTGGATCACGGTGCTGACCCAATGCTGCAGAACAAGGATGGATGGAACTCATTCCACATTGCATGCAGAGAAGGAGATCCAGCCGTCATACACCACCTCCTACTGGCCAAACCTGAGGTCTGGAAGACAAAGAGCAAGACTGGCAGGACGCCCCTCCACACGGCTGGTATGGAAGCACAGGATTTAATGTGTTTTCAAATTGCCAAATGATGCATATATATTTTTTTGTCATGCCATTTTCTCACCTAAGCTATGCATGGCTGTGAGGATGCAGTGAAGATTCTGCTTAAAAGGTAACATTGAGTATGAATGTGTTTTATGAATAGCACAGCACAGGTCCTTATGATATACTGTAGCTTACATGGTTTACATGTTAATTCAGTTGTTGCTATGAGCCTGATGGGAAGGACAGCTGTGGAGTCACACCATTTATGGATGCCATAAGGACCGGACACATAGCTATTGCTAAATTGCTCCTTGAGAATCACCAGGTACGCACATATTTGCACATATCATTAACTCATGTCGTTTTACTTTTATTAGATGTGAGCTTGTTTATGTTCACGTTTATCTGGTTTAGGCATGTCCCTCAGCAGTAGATATTCTCGGAGCGCAACCTCTGCACCAGGCCTCTGTTACTGCTCAAGAAGAAGCACTTTCTTTCCTCGTGCGTCACCTTGGTATCGACATAAACTCAAGAGCCTCAAAACTGGATCTGACTGCTTTGCATTATGCTGCTAAGGTTTTATCAGTTGCATTAAACATGAAGCACAGTTAAGATAACATTCTCAGCTTCCTCTTCTGATCTGGCTTCAATCTCGATGCTCATTTTTCAGGAAGGTCACACAAGCACCATAAAAACACTGCTTTCCCTGGGCGCTGATCTTCATGCAAGAGACACGAAAGGAAGATCAGGTAGGAGTACACTTTACAGTGTATTTCACTCCATGCCACCTCAAGGAGATCTTTTTAATTAGAAAGCAAAGTAAAAATATCTTTTAATGGTTTGCAGCTCTACATATGGCCTGCATTGGCCAGCATGCGGACACCGTTAAGACACTACTGCAGCTGGGACTCAGAGATACTGAAGACAACACGGGCAATACAGCAAGACAGTATGCCATAAAAACTAATATTAAAGAAGTGTTTGAAAGTCTTGAAATGTAATCGCTGTGTCAAATGAATAAATAATTTCTTTGAATGAATATTAAGCAAAAGTGGAGATACAGAGTTATCAAATAAATGTTTTTTTAATGAAAGTAATTTATTTGTTTATTTTAAAAAGGGACATTGTGCATTAATCTATATATATATATAAAAAGAAAAAAAGAAATGTTATTCAAGTGCTTGTTTGTAGATTTTTTTCTTTTTTAGAACTATGAAATGTGTATTAGACCAGCTTGCCAAACAATATGTGAAATCTTAGCAGCGATCGTTTGATTAAGAATTTCTATTAACCTAAAATTAACCCAGTTACATTTGACCTAAGTCATGTGGTAAATTATTTATTTGTTCCTTTTCATATGACATGAAACCTATGAACTTATGGTAACTTCCATACAAACGATTTCGTGACTCACTCATAAACTCCAAGTTTTCAACAATGGAAATCAGTCACAAAACATATACAGCCATATTCGCATAATGATATAGCCTCTTCATTTTACAACAACAAAATAACGTGGTGTATTTATTGTCTTCGCTTTGTTATTTTTTTTTTTTATAGAAATAAAGAAACATACGACAATAAAAAAACAATCTAATACTTGGTACAGATATTGAAATATACCTATTACTTTACATAAGTGCTATATTTTTGGGAACCTTTTTAAACGATTCGAGTCACTGGATGAATCATACATATGAATCGATCAGGGGGCGCGCATTCACTCTCGGTGATTGACAGCACAGTCCACCAATCTCATCTCAAAACGCGTCAACTCGCACGCCCTGCCCATTTCAGCCACACCCTCTGTGAGTGACGTGACAGCGCACTTCTTTCATTTCCAGCTTTGCAAGATCTCCATTTTCTTCGCGCCGACGCATAGGAAAAGGGGATTAAAGACGAGGAAAAATGAATGAAGAATACGACGTTATCGTGTTGGGAACCGGGCTAACGGTATCAGAATATCATCTAATCCAAACACGCACGTTTACTTGGTGTAAAAATATGTAGAAAAGGCACAACTATCGGCTGTTTCGATCTTGCTAGGCGTTGCTCTGAATGTACCGTTCACTTTAGGAGGCTAATTACTAACATGCTCAAATTAGCATCATGCTAATCAGCAGTCAGTCTTGTTCTATGGGATATGCTAATTAGCTACACTGCTAATGTTAGCCTCGAGCTAATAGACATTTATGAGAACTGTGCAGATATGCTTATCTGCCTCTATGCGGCTAACTTTAGCATCAGTTATAGTTGTCCAGTGGCGCTCAGAGCCGCGGCTAATGCTATCTCACAGGCCTCGGTTACAAATTTGACGGTGGCTTGTGACTACACAAGAGTATTTTATATCGCTTTTCATGTTATTTAATATCATTCTAATAACGCACCAAGATTGTTCTTGTGTTTTGTTATATTAGTCTAATATTTGAGACCAGATAGCGCGCTTGCATTGAGGTTTTCATGTTTTGACAGTGCCAACAAGACGCCTTGCGCTGTGTCTAGCTAATAAATGATCACTAATTACTCATGTAGAGGGTTTTTATTATTCTTTAAGTGAATAAAAATAGATTGCATGCAGAATTGTCCTCTACTTTTCAAAACGTAGCTAGTTTATGATGTTACAAATGGCTTCCTCAATGTTGAGGTGGTATTTTTTTTTTTTCAAGAGTTTGACTTCATAGTTATTTTAAGGGTTGAGGGTTAGTTCATATTTTCCCTCAAAATTAAATGACAGTATGGGATTGTTTGGGATTACTTATTGAGTCAATAACAGAAATCCCACACCCTCAAGTCAAACAGAAAACCCTCATTGCATATTCTATTACAATGCTTTAAAGGCCTGTTTATTTAGCCAGGAAGTTGTTTATAATACAGACTTGCTTATAATACAGACGACTGTATGCATACTTATGATAAAAACAGATCTGCTGGGCTCTTCGCTGCAAAATTACACTATTCGTAGTATACATTGTTGTAAATAATTACCTAACGTTAGATTGTATGCATCAGGGGAAAAACTCATGATGTCAACTATTCCCGACTGCTACTGTAATATGCTTTTCGGTCAGTCATTTGTTTGGTGGGACAGTCTCAGAATACTTTGTTTCCTTTTGGTTTAAGTGAGATTAAGTAAACAGTTTTGTTTATTTCGCTTCTTAAAGTCACCATGAAATAAAAATTTAATTTATTAATGTATTTCTAAACGATTTAGCCATCAAGGGCACATCTTTTTTTTTTATTCATGTGCCTTGTAATCATTAATCTAAATAATTTCATTAAACCAAAATCTCCCCCTCGCCCCCCCTCTCCATCTCTTTTCTAAAGATGTTTTTGGTGCAACAACCTGTCACTCACATGGATCACTGCAATAGCAAGCCACAACCATCCAATTAATTCCCTATAAACAAAATCAAGTCACACCCAACATTTCTTCTTGTTCGATAACCCGTTTCACTGTAATATCCATCACAATGGGCAAAGAAGAGGCATCCTCTGTTTCATGTCTTCAGTTAATTTGTAGTGATTTTGATCTGTGATCTATACTAATCCTGCCAGACTCAAGTGTGCACAAAAACTGATTTATTGATTGTGGATCTCGAATTTGCACATTTTATTGGTTTGGATTTGGGCAATGAGTTTAAAGTGGTTCCCCTAAAACGGGAAATATGGGAAGTGAACCGAGGACGTTTTTGTGCAGAGGTGCTTTGGGCTATCAGTAGAGCAACAGATAGGCGTTGTTTTGCTTTGTAGAGGAACTGAGACTGACGTCGTATCTTTTAAGTTCTGCAAATCAGACATAAATGGTAAGCTGAGGGTGGCATACGAGCGATAAAATACCAACAATGCTCCCGTCTCGGATGTTTTATAAGGAATTTTCTCACAGTTCCTCTGGCCACAGTCCCTCTGAGCACAGTACAGCTCTGGTATTACATGGCTTATTGCATAATCCATTTAGCCTGAGCAGGCTGTTGTAGTGGCTGGAAGTTAGAAGCGTTGATGCTTAAACCACTCCGAGTTTTAATAGAAAAAAAATGTCTCAAGGTTTTTGTCCATTTTATCACATGCTATAATAGGAATTCTTATACCGGCGTGACGGCGTCTTATTGTAGTAGTACATTTATGGTAAAACACTTGTTACTTTGTCACTGTCGTTG